AACATGTCTGAGTTATTCTAAAATTTTCAGTTTACAAAAAAAGTGACTATACCACATTTCCAACCTGTACCACATTTGCATCATTTCCACTATATCGTACCTTTGCTGCTACATTAAGACGGGTGCGAAACTTGGCTGCCACAAGGTAAAATATATCTATGAGCTATATCCAAATTTTATACGATATCGAAAAAATCTAAACCACAATGCGCTATGCAAAATTAAATCGAACAAACATAGGGCCATTTACATGAAATCGGACTCAGAAATTGGGTAACGGGCGTATTATTTCTGTTTCAATAAGACGAAGAACGTGCCCTATTATAAATTTTAATAAGCCTGACTAAATTTGTACTTTTTTACATTCTGAAATATGCTATTTTAATTAATATATCATTAATAATCATGTAACCGATTAAAAGGCCTTGTAACTCCTATTAAAATAAATGATACGCAACTTTAGAAAAAAATCATTTCACAATTTATTGTAATTGATGTTATTTTCATTCCCGTGAACAGGTAACCTTAACCTAGTTACAAACAATTCTGTGCCTCATTACAGGTTAGTTTGGGGAGATTTGACGACAAAATAGTTGGTATAAATGTCATGCGTACATTAACGATGTGTTGACATATCTGAATTAACCAATTTGTACGTAATTATGGCTATTCAACAACATTAAATATAAACAAAATTCCCCCGTGCTGGAGTTAATGAAATGATTTAAAAATGAGTTTAGCAAATATTATCTAACGCCTGAATTATTTCCAACAGATTTGTCACCAGATTTCTCACTTTTTGTGTTTATTGTTTGTTTTCTGTTTTTTGCAGATTTTACATTTGATATTGTTACTCGTAGTTTAAAGTTGGTTGTACTCTTGAAATAATTATTCATGTAATGTTGTGTTTAGCAGCCATGTGCACCAGGAAGTCACTTGTCACCCAGAATCACCCACGATGATGTTGGCGGTGCTTGCAAATATTTATTTATAACTCGACTTTTGTGTGGCCGAAAAGTTTTTTGTTTTTATTTTTAATGAACATTTCAGAGTTAAAAATGTGAAAGTCGCATGCAAAATAATTCAATGAGAAATGCATTTTTAGATGTTATCTTGTATTAATATTTTGTCGAGTTTATAAATCTCACAAAGAGTTTTATGGTCGCAGCGATTTTTTGAAAGTACACAAGTCGATTTAAAATTTTATGAAACACAATAAAAATTTAATGTTTTTTTTTTTTTTTTTTTTTTTTTTGATACTATGGATATGTAGGAATAAGAACCTAAATACCATGGATCGGTTTGTGAAATCGGCAATATGCATTCAATAGAGAAAGAATTATAAGGGATGATCTGAAAAGACGACAAGCAACCATTGGTTAACAAGAAAATAACAAGTGATTTAATTTATTTGTCTATTAAACGGATTCTTTAATTACTGTCACTTGTAGACAACCAGTTTAGATTTTAACGATTCCTTTATGTTGTTGGCTTTGTTTCGGAGTTTAGGGTTTCAGATCTTTTACCAATTTGTTTTAATTTTGCACAACTTTTAAAACATCCTTCATGACCACAATTTTACATAAAACCAACTCCCTACCTCGAACAATTAAGACAAAAAAAATACACCACCACCACCAACACACTTCACGCATTTAATTGTTCGTTTGGAGCTGAACTAATTGCTGTCGACATTGTTAACACCCTGAACACTGTGTTGGAGCCATATGCAAGACACTGGGGTGGAATGCATGAAATGTAAGTAAAATAAACCTATTTACGAAAATATATATATATATATATATATATAGATTCCATGGTTTTTTAAAGAAAGTATTACGGATTTCTTCTCTCCTCAAAGATAATAAAAATCAATTTTATACCCTACGAAATTAACTTTGTATTCTATTTTGAACTACTTGGCATGATAATATTAGACCCATAGTATATATATATATATATAAATCGTTATTGTTTTGCTTATAGTCCCCTACAATGTCACGTCCTTATTTTGAAGGTAGTATTACCAAAAATTCTAAATATTTCTTTATGTTTCGGTGTAGCCCCCATATTACGGACTTTTTGAGGATTTTAAAAATATTTTTTTCAAAGCATGTTTTCAACATTACTCCGTGGAAACCGTAAAGACTCTACAAAATGAATTTTGTCAAAATAGTGTATGAAAACATATCCAGGGGGAATCAGGCATAACAGAGGCATGTTAAGAATAAAAACGCCAATACGCGAAAATGTCTGTATAAGATGTAAATAAAATCACAGGTCTGCACTCAAAATATATGTTTTCATTTTATAAGCTTAAGATATAGCACTAAAAACGTTTAACAGTGATCGCTCTGTTGTTATGATGAGGAAAAACCATCTGTTGGGAATTGTTTACGTATCGAGTGTTCTATCATTATACTTTTATGTCTTTGCATTACTGTCCCTATTATTAGGTTGGGGAAAAATAAATCCATTATTTTTATATGAACTATAGGACTTTATTTAACATGCCTCCGAATGTCCGATTTGTCCAAATATGCACCGCTTTGTTGTATGATTTGTTGCCATTTAAAGGTAACTAGTAGTCGATTTTCACAATGTTCCCTTGATACCAATTTTTTATCATGAAAGAAGTTTGCAATACATGGAAAAGATGATAATTTATTGGTGCCAAGTTCGGACTGTATGGCGGATACATTAAAAATTCCTAACCAAGCTCCAGAAGTTTCTGACAAATCACTGTAGATGTGTATGGCATAGCGTTGTCCTGGTGGAACACGACACCTCTCCTGTTTGCCGTTTCTGGTCAATTGTAAATGGTTTAAAACAGTTTTATGGTCGATTTTTAGCACCTGGGCGATGTTACGACTTATCGACATTTTTGACGACCGGCCTAGCTGTGCGAGGTGCATCTTTAACATGAACGGAATCTAAGAAACCAAAATTGCACATAATTGGCTGTTACAGTATCGGAACCACAAACACCATTCACAATTTTAGCCGCTTGGCTTGCGTTTTCGCCTTTGTCAAAGAAAAACGGTAAAATGTACCGATTTTTCTCTTTGTTCATTTCCATTTTTAACACCCTTTAACTCACATCTGAATGTACCAAACAAAAAACAGCAAATTATTTTTTTTACTGCGAAATGTCACCCTTCCAGTGAGCATTAATCTGAAATTGTTTGATCGATACTTTACGAGAAATCTATAAGTACAGCCATTTGCCGAAAAATAATTGATTTCTTTTACCCCAACCTATTATTGTCCTATCCTATTATATTTTCGATAATTTTGGATTTGTGTAAATACATACAGGTTTCACGTTTAGTTCTTTTCAGCATTTTTGAAAAGGTAAGTACACATTTTCAAGACTACCTGGATATCTCAATTCTATGCTCCAACAGCAATCAATATTGCAAATTTTAGGTTTCAAGCTCTATACGTAAAATCCAAATTGTACTAAATTTAGTATAACATAAGTACGAAATTCTTAAACTATCGCAATCCTGCACTCTAGCTCCAACAGGAGTCCAGCTCTATCTGTTCATATAAAATCTAATTGTATCAAACATTAGTGCACATAAGTACTATACTTCCATACCCCAATTCTACTCTCCAACAGCAACCGTTTTCCCAAATTTGTTGGCTTCCAGCTATCTCTCCGTTCGCCCACATAAATAAAAACGAATTTCAACAGTAATCTGAATTCCAAATTGCTCTATGCTTTAATCAAAATACAAATTGTTCTAAAATTAGTACCATTTAGTACATTTCGTACCCATAAGTACGAATTTCATTTTAGTTCCCAAATTCAAGACTCCATCTCTATCTAAATCCAACTTTTAGCAAATTTAATACCATTTAGTACTTCTTGTACACATAATTACGATTTTTACAACTACCTCAATCCTGTACTCCAATAGTAATTCAAATTCCAATTAGAATTAAATTTAGTAATGTTTAGTACTTTTCCTACACATTTAGGTCAAAATATCAAGCGTCAGCCATTTGGTCTGGGCGATCTCAAAGAGGTCTTCATCAAATTGCTTATTCAATTCGCTTCAGATTAAATGTACAATTTTAAAAAAATATTGACCCTTTGTGGGGTAGCTACCAGAAGGCGCCAATCTTCCAACTTGTTCTAGGATTGGTAAAGATAATCCATTCGCCAGATATGGGATTTATAAATATTGAAAACGCTGACCCTTTGTGAGGAAGGTACCAGAAGGATTGGACCGCTCGGTCCTCAGAGTTGATCTAATTAAGATAATAAGCTGTGCAAAGTTTGGTTAAAATCGGATTCGCCTGATACTGGAGTTATAAATATTGGCATTGTAAACCCTTTGTACGGGAGGTACCAGAAGGAGTGGACCGATGGGTCCCATCTGTATACTTGATGTAGCATTTTTAAAGATAATAGTTTGTACAAAGTTTGGATCAAATAGGATAGTCCGTTCGCATATTTTAAATTAATTTTCTGCAAAATGTTTATCATTTTGTCGGGGAGGTACCAGAAGGTGTGGACCTATATTCCCCACTTTCGAACTTGAACTAAATTTGGAAGAAATATTATGATGTGCAAAGTTTGGATGAAATAGGTTATTTCTTTCGAGATTTATCGTGAGCACCAGACAGACGGACATTTGTAAATCGACTCCAAATTGTCTGAAACAGATAAAATGAAGCATTAGGTCCAAAAAATATTTCGATGAGGCACATGTTTGCGATATGAATATGTATATACACTCATGAGCCATAAAAATGAGGGTATAAACATCATTACTATCGTTTTTCGGATAGCTCTCATATAACGTTACCCTCACACACTATGGTCAGATTTGAATGTATATATAATGTATATGCTTTATCAAAGTGTTGTCCAACAGGAGAAGTTACTCTTTAGACCCTATCTTAGGATTAATGTAGATGGTAAATTTTGAATAGAATTTTCACAAAATAAATAATTTTTACCAAACAATAAAAATCCTGGTTCAATAATGGCCGCCGTGTACTCATCGAAGTGAGTCATAATGTATATATTCCAATGGGTCCGAAAGAAAACTGCAATCGCCGGGCCTGTAATGAACAATCTGATCAACTGGAAGTTTCCCAGCGAGGGTAGGGGAAATTCCGGTCACATTAGAAATCGATTTCTGCACCTCACAAGGACTGGGAGCCATAATGAGCTAGCTTCAGTCAGTTGGGGGGTTGGTGTCCCTGGAGGTCACAGCCACTACTCTCAACATAAACAAAATTTTTATATAGACTCCAGTTTAACATATTTCAAGAAAAATTAGATCCTTACTACAATTGCAAAAACAAAAAAAATCTTATTGTACCCCAACTGGTCTAGAAAAAAACCAAATTATCTATCGTTATTCCTCATACTGATAATTTCGGATTCCTGGTGTTCTGGAATCGATAGCCTCATAACCCATCCCATCCATGGACTTACTGGCTTACAGTTTATTTATAAGTCCCCTATTTCTGATTATTGTCGTCTACTCTCACATCCCGGCCGTAAAATCAGGAATAATTAAGCATTCATTGTGAATTATAGTGATTCAAAAACAAAATAAATTCATTTATTCAACAACATGTCAACAAATTAAATAAAATGGAGAAATCGAACTTCAAAAAAAAAATTTTTTGATGGTTTTTAGTGTTTAGAAAAGAATCTGCAATTTAGGAATACAGAGCAGAATAAATTTATGAAAATATAATTTAATTACTAATAATTTTAATTCTTAGAAAAATAGAGTAGGAGTATATTGTTTCATTATTAGATTATTGCAAAACTAGGATGTTTAAATATTATTTCATTACTAGGTGTGTACAAAAGAAAAGGGAAAACCGTAGGCATTTGGGTATATCTGACGGAATTCTGTTTTAAATGATTTTGAGGTGCACAAATTACAATACCGTTTGGCATAGATATAGCAAAATTTGATTATAAATTGAAACATAATATATTGTGAACTTACCACGGTAATGTATCGTCTTTTAACAGCACGTCGAGGCCTCGAAGAACTTGTTGGTGACGTCAGTGGCTAGATTAATTTAATATACAAATTTGCTGTATATACGCCATGTTAATAGATAATTGCTTTATGTAACACCTGATTTTACCAATATACTCCTGCTTTACTTATTCTAATCCCGGAATATGAGAATCCTTAGGGTTAAATCCGGGAGGGTGTTTTATATCAGGAATTGTTGCGGATATAAACAGGTCAAGGTATAGTGCTTGCTCGTGTGATGTAATACGGCTAATAATAGCATGTGGTTTCTTCTATATATTTTTCAGTCAAGGTTATGTCACTTGTATAAATGTTAGGTCACGTACAAAATAGCTGGAATGCGGCTGATTTGTACAGCCCTCCAGGAATAGTTACACAGAGCACGGGTTTTCCTTGAAATGTGGATTTTCGTAGGCAAGTGCTCTGAATATAAAAATAATAATCCAATTACTCCGACTATCGACGGAACTATATATTTATATATAAATTACCTGTGTATAACTTTCTAAAAAGCTTAGACGGTGGTATACGATTCGATCGGGAGATATAATTTACAAGGATTGTTCACAAATGGAAACTGTGATTTATTTATACCAGACCCTGCTGACAAAAATCCTTGTTCCACGACAAAAATCGAAAATTGATCAAAATAAGGGTACAATTTGATGGGTATTGTTGGGCTTATTAGCTGATTTAAATTGTTATTTTATTTGAAATCTGATGTTTCAGAAAAATATTGATGTAATTTTACACTTGATCCCTTGATCAGTATCACTCCACGTTGTTAAAATTTATTCAATCGTAATTAGAAATTGCTTAAGCCAAAAACTTGTTGATTGATCCAGTACAGCAGACAGAAAGATCGATCAGTATTTGCAGAGAAACCACTTAGGCTTTCTGTTAATCATGTAAAAAAAATAAAATTCACCACCCTACTGACTTACAAAACTGCAAGATTTTGCTTTGCATACCGTATATAATTTACAGACCTACCGTAAGGCAAGGGGGGTGGAGGTGTAGCGGATCGACCTGCGCTACAATGAAGAATAAAAGAACAAAGAGTATGTTGAAAGAGAGGGTAGTGCGAAATAACATCCGAGAACTAGAAAGATGTGGTGTGGGGCGAGGGTGTGTGTGTGCGAGTACTTAAATACTGTTGTTGTGTACTGCACGTAAATGTAAAAATAAAGAGTAACAATGAAAGAGGGAAGGTTAAAGCATAACAGCGAAATTGAGTGAGTTGATGATCTGTATATTACCCAGCAAACTATTGCAGCAAGTAAAAACAAACAACTTATTTGGGGGTTCTGTATGTATGTCCATCATTACAGGCCAAACCCAATGAAAGTTCTTTGTTGAAAAACACTTCAAGCAATGGATTCCGAATAACCAACATATTACGGTCATTTCTATGTCGTACACCACTATTTGTTTGCCTGATATCTTCCCAGATTATACACCATGACTATACGAGCTCTCACACATCAGTTCAAATCACCTTTGTACAAAGGTCAGGTCGTGTTATACTTTTATAGAGTGTAAAATATCAGATCTATATCAAAACACACATCTGTATTGACAGTTTTTAGCAATAACAGTATCTATTGATAAACAACAATCAATGCGGTAGCAAGTATACATATTTTTAAACATCACACCCCAATACACCCATATGTGTATTTTTATTATGAATTTGAAAATGTAAACAGACAACAAAATGCTTCAGTACACCCACACATATATGTGTTGTTGTATCTTAATTTGTCACAGCGAGCTGGCATTGCATGTAATAACCATTCTTTTTTTCTGCTATTATTTGTGTGTGTCTAAAAATGTTTAAATATTCGTGTTGATAACGGTCATTAAACTCTATTTTTCAAATGAAATTTTCATTAAAACAAATTTTTAACTCTTGGATAATATCGCACATTTTGCTGTGTAATTTCTCCTCATTGTATAAAAATATTTGTTTTATTGCGCAGGCCTAACAGTTTGTCGCGTTACGTCGTCGGTTGCTCATCGTACTTGAAAAAACGGATCGGTTCGTTGGATTACATTTTGTTATATAAACCGTGCTATTCATATCCTGTTGAGGATGTTTCTGGCCAAGAGTACCGTATTTTTATTTTATATGACATTATTTGCATTCAGTGCTGCCTCAAAAGTGGAAAATACTTCGTGGAAAGATTTCCTATTCGGTACAAAATGGAAATCATCATCAAGCCCTTCATCGAGAGATTCAAGATGTATGTGTGAATTTAAAGGATTGTGTTTTTTTATTTTAAGCATATTGCTAAAAAAAGTTTATCTAAATGAAAATTGAGATAACACGAAATTTTATAATAATAAATTAACGAACAAATGATAAGATGTTGTTGTGGAATTGTGAAATTTATAAGCAAATTATAACGAATTGCACTAAATAAATCTGTCAAAATGGACTGAAACCGTAAATGAATGGAACATTCAAAGCATACACTAAACTCAAAAGTAACTGAAATATACAGTGGTTATCACCTACACCTGAAGGAGATAAGTGTTTTGATTAACCCTCGATTCGATTGGAATATTTTGAAATAATTTTTATATTCAAAACATTTATGTGTACTGTACTATAGCGATTAAGTGTGAAAATATAAAAATAATCACGAGAAATTTGTAACATAAAACGGTATTTAGAAAACAAGTCAGGTTTTGGAAGGGACACGTTATTGGCACACCGTTGATATTAAACAAAAAACTTCGTGCAATGCAAGCGATTAAAAATGTGAATGGTATTTTTGGTTCCGATAATGTAACAGCCGTTTAGGAATTTTTGATGTTAAAGATGCACCTCGCACAGGTAGGCCGGTAGTCGAAAATGTCGATAAAATCGAAGTTGACCGGCATGTTAGCAGTCGTAACAAAGCCATAGAAACCGTAAAGATTGGGTTTTATTTTCCCAAATCTAACATGTTTTTCTTTTGGTTTAATATTAAATAACCAAGAACCATCCGAGTTAACATTTGATAAAATAATCGATTTTATGATACCCTTCCAAAGACATAGAAGTATAAAGATACGACAATTAGACATGGCTCTGAACATTCTAACTTTCAGTAGGACGTGAGCCAGAAGGGAGAAGAGTTAAGAGGAGCCCCCACCCCCCCCCCCCTTTCACGGTGTCAAAAATTTTTCTGATTTAATTCGAATCTAGAGTAATTCAAGAATATCCCTACAAAATTTCAAGTGAAAATCTCAAGAACTCTTGAAGATATAGCAGATTTATTGTGTCAGCATCAAGTGACGGCTAAAGGGCTTCTTGAACTTTAAACGCGTTTTTCTCCAAACATTGATTTTGCGAATGGCGGGCACGATAACTCAAAAACTAATAACCCAATCGATTCCAAATTTTTACACGTTTCTCTGTGAGTGTATAGATATCGTATGAACTAGGATAAAGCCAATCGGTGAAGATCTTCCTTATTTTTTAATTTCGTTTTTGATCAAAAATTTTCAATTTTCCAAAAATATTTTTTCAAAGGTCCGCCATTTTGTTAATTTTAGAGCGAAGTCAATAATCCTAGTTCATACGAGAGCCAGACATGTACTCTTTCTAACACCGTTGGAATTTTCGGATTCCGATGCTCCAGTGAGGAGTTATCATGCCCGCCATCAAAAATAATGACTTTTCTTTGATCACAAAAAACAACAACAAAAAATGTTTACTAATTATTTTTCTTCCTTTTTAAATCTTCAAATATATATGTACAAAGTTACAAACCTTAACAAGCATTGGTGTTGATTTACCAGCTCATTGAAATTTTTGAACAAAATAAAATCGTGAATGGGGGGTGGGGGGTTCCCTTAATAAGGAAAAAAGATGCGACAATTGATACGTAAGTTAAATTAGCATAAAGTCGGTCGAAAATATATATCGGTCATTTGCTGCAAGACAAGCATAACTCATACCAGTAAGGAAAGTAGTAAAGTCGGATGGCGCCGACTATATGATACCCCTAACCACTTTGGGTATATTTAACTGATGAATCCTAACAGACGTCTCATTTTTGAAGGACCAGTAAAATAAAATTAGATCCATAAACATGTAATTCTGCAACCTATACTAAATTTTTCATTTGGTCAGATATAGAGTTGCTTCTTACAATGGGACAAAATTATGTAAATCAATTTAAAGCAAATATCAATCGGACACCCGTTGATTATTTGGATAAGTATCTGATAAACATGAGGAGTTTGGTGCACCATTTACTTAAAATCGGAAGAAAATATATATAAAATCAGTTGTTTTGGCGGGTTATTTGGGATACCATTTGTATTTTGTTTTTGCAAAATAGTCAGGCTGAATCCCAAGTTGTTGTTTTTATAAAAACAGCTATTTATTAGTGGGAAATATATGGCATTGTCTGCCGAGGGATAAGGCAGGGAAGACTATAGTTTCGAATCTCGTCACTGATCCTCATCAGTTCCCTTAGTTTTTTGTTGGGATATTCTCCCCAGAAGCTATTTATTGCTTCTTTACAAAAAACCTTTCATACCCAAATGTCTCTTGTGGCAATTCGAAGTTCTTACGTTACCTGCGATACGACCTCAATGAGAAGTTCGTTTCGTTGGCGCCTGATTTTGTGGTCAACAAGGCATTTGCAGACAACTACAATACATTTCCCACTGTTATGTGTCGTCAGTTTGTGACGAATACACATTACGTTGTTGTTGGTATTGCTAGTTTAAGGAATAAATCAAACAGTATGACCGAGCCTGCGTCCACAACTGCGTCCACAAAACTAGCAATACCAACAACAACACTATGTGCTTGTGACGAATGCACATAGCGTTGTTGTGACGACACATAGCAGTAATAAATAGCTTCTGGGGAGAATATCCCAACAAAAAACTAAGGGAACTGATGAGGATAAGTGGCGAGATCCGAAACTATAGTCTTGCCTGCCTTACCCCTCGGCGGACAATGCCATACATTCCCCACTAATAAATAGTTGTTTTTTATAAAAGCAACAAACTGGGATTCAGCCTGACTATTTTGCAAAAACAAAATGTATATAAAAGCTATATCGAAATCTGAACCGATTCCATCGAAACTTTTGACAGGTTAGGTTATACTAATTTCTTCATTACGTTGTGCAAAATTTTGTGTAAAACCGGACGAAAATATATATGTACAAGCTATATCTAAATCTGAACCGATTTCAACGAGACTTGCCAGAGCTTAATTTATATTAACTAGAGTTCATTGTACAAACTTGTGTGGCAATGGGACAAACTTTAGGGTCTTTAGTGCACAATTTACATAAAATCGAAAGAAAAAATATATATAGGAGCTACATTAAATCCGAAGAAAATATATATGGGAACTATATATATCTGAACCGATTTTCACGAAACTTAACACACATAATTCTGGACTTTATTCAGTACGCTATGCCAAATTTCGTGCAAATAGAACGATATATGTGGACTTTGGTTCACCAATTACATTAAATCGGACGAAAATATATATGGGAGCTATATCTAAATCTAAACCGATTTTCGGGAAACTTTACACACATCATTCTAGACTTAATTCAGTACCCCATGCAAAATTTCGTGCAAATCGAAATATATATAGGGACTTTGGTATACCATTTACTTTAAATCGGACGAAAATATATATGGGAAAATATATATGGGAGCTATATCTAAATCGGGACCGACTTTTACGATAAACAATGCATTTTGTTTAATTATACTAACAGTTTATACAAAAATATTACAAGCGATGAATTTTTCCAAATCTGTCGCTACAAAATAAACAAAAAATCTAGCGTTTAATTTAATTTTCGAGTCTCTGTCTATATTATTCGTCCTTATGTCATGTCACTCATAAATTCTTAATATACTCCCAAGAACATTTGTCCAGCTCGATTTTGTCGCGTAGTGTATTATAGCCAGCAATTTTTTTTAAATAATTCTGTCTATGACTGGGTATTCCTATTTAGATATAGGATATAATTCGCCAGCATTTTCCTTCAAACCCTTCAGAAACACATTTTTTAACCAACAGCTTCTCTTTCTATTTCCTCCATCGTAGCAAAACTCTTTTTATCATCATTGTCTTTAGTTTTTGGAAGAGAAGAAGGCCGGCAAGGACAACGTCAGTTTTTTTCCCAAAATCTCACGCAAATGTTTTGATGTGAGATCTGATTTTTATCCTTCTGGAAAATCCATATTTGGTCTTTCCACAGTTCTGTGCGTTTCTTCCGATTTATTGCTCCTAACTTCAAGGTAACAAGAAATCATTGTAGTCGATGAAAACACTGTTATTCTCAATTGAATTTGTTTGCGCATTTAATATATTTTTTGCACAAATACAGTTTCTTTCATCAATTTTTTTGAATATTAAAAACTCTTAAAGCACACTAAATCACAACTAAAATTTATACACTGGTGGCCAAAACTAAAGCAATTGAAATTGCAAACTGAATAAATGGCCTGTAACTTTTATGAAAATAAAGTTATAGTGAACGTTTTTTTCAGAAATAAATAGGTAATTTATTTACTTTTAAACACAAATAATATAAATGCCAAATTTATTTTGAAATAAAAAATACGCAATGGAAAACTAAATGGACCCAATTTTTGCTTGGTGAAAAGTTTTTTCTTATAAATAAGCAAATTTTGTTGGTAATCGACATCATAAACATTATTTTTCATTACGGCAGAATACCTACGAGACATTGAACCAATAAAATGCTCAAGTTGATCCTTGGGTATACTATTCCTTGGATCCTAAAATTTTGGGAAGAGGTTATGTTTGTTTGTTAGTAAATCCCTATTGATTTTGCAATCTATTATGCTCCAAAGATTTTTCTATAGGGTGAAGACCTTATGATTGTGTTTGGCCATTTTAAAACGCTGGTTGTTCACTCCTGTTATTGTCAAGCTGAAACAACCAAATAGGCGGTATATGTTCATCAGGGAAGGAAACTATAACGTCTTCCGACAAATTTGTATAAACAATTCGATCCCTTAATTCATAAATCTCGTAATAATATCCAACTCCAAAGAAAAGCAGCCCACTAACATTAATGACCCTCCTCCAAGCTTCCCAGTACCCTAGCAATACTTTGGCACGAGCCTTTCATTTTTGGACTTTCTCACAGTATTGTTTTTTATGACTGAGTGTTTAATATTAAACATTAATTTATCCGAGAGCATCATATTTCTCCACTGAGTCGGATTCCAATTAATATGACCTTTTACGAAAGACAATCTGGCTTTCCGATTCTTCTCAGAAATTAAAGAACCTTCTTGATACTTTCCGGTCATGTAGGCCTGTTACCATAGGTCGTCCACGCTCTGTTTTTGAGGTTATATCCAACAATAACCGTATCACAAATTTCCTTGAACTCTTAAATGGGTATTTTTACAGCTATGACAATTTTTTTTATCAGTACGAACTGATGTTCTTTTGCAGCCTTCCACCATGCCGAACTGTCACTACAGATATAGATGCATAAAACGCACTTATAATTTGAGAAATAATGGAGAAATTCATGGAATATTTCTCCGAAATAATTTTCTGTGATAACTCATTTTCACAATCACAGGTAATTAGCTGTTTTATCGGAGTACTGTATTTATTTCTACCCAATTTTATATTTTTTGGCAGTTTTGGCCACCAGTGTATGTGTCAAAAAGAATATGAAAATCTAAAATGGTTGATATTGCCAACACATACAACATAACAAAAAGACGAAAATCGAACATAAGTAACTCGCGAAACGATGGAAATTATTTTTTTTATCAGACCTGAACACCATTTTTATTCTAGTTACTCAAATCGTGTCGATTTAGAAAGCATAGTCTAAACTGGATTTAATGGTTGACTACGGTATTTGTCTAAGTTTATATTGGGTTGAATTCACGAACCACTGTTGTCTCATATTTTGTGTGTATCTTCCAAAAACCTATGCTAAGTGATGCAATTCTGTATTACATGTAGCATACTTTTAGGCATTTAATAAAATTTCTATAATTTTATTATAATAAAGGGTTTTTTTCTAATATGCGCTGCATTTGCTTTCAGTTTTACCAATATTTAACGTAATACCCATTGGGCCGTCGTTATGTTTGGCACCGTCCGGCGAAGTTGGAAATTGTTTGCCAAACAAAGATTGCATACTACGAGCTGGAATTCCGGCTGGTCCCTGCGGTGGTGGTTATGGACTTTGTTGTGTTTGTAAGTGTGCTAGGTGTGGAAATATAGAAATTGAAAAATAATAATAAATAATTCACAACTGAAATAGTTTTACAGACCTGTGGTGGCGTTATTAGAGAAAATTCTACATATTTCGTTAATCCCAATCATCCGGATACATATGATGGCACGGGCAGCTGCCAGGTTACGGTACAAAAAATGCATCCAGATATATGTCAATTGAGGTAATAAAATTTGATTTTCAAATATTATGACAACATTTCAAACAGAGATGTACACATATATTTTATTTAGATTAGATTTGGATATGTTTTCCATAGCACCACCTGAGTCGGTAAATCATTTGTGTACTCAAGATCAGTTGTTAATCTCTGGCAGCAGTCCAGTTCCCACGATTTGCGGCATTTCATCAGGTGATCACAGTAAGTATTGAATCTGTTCTTATTATTCGATTTATCGATTACCTCGAATTTATTCCAGTGTACATTGATGCTGGTCTGGGACAAAGTAATCCCATTGTTATTTCTGTCATCACAAGTGGAACATTCCCGCGCATCTGGCGCATACGAGTAACGCAAATTCATTGCGGTAGCATAGCTCGTGCTGAACAAGGTTGTTTGCAATATTATACTGGAATTAGTGGTCGTGTAAGGAGTTTCAACTTTAACACTGTCTCCGGCAGACAATTATCAAATCAGGATTATAGTATTTGTATACGAACTGAGAGAAATTTTTGTGGCATACAATATAATGCATGCCCAGATTTGGGTGAGTTCCCAATCTAATTGTATTTGATAATAGACGTAATAAAATATTTCAACATTTCAGAAAACAATCGTTCCAGATCATTCACCTTATCGGGAAATTCAAATAACCCGACGGGAACCATGGTTGGTGGCGGTACTCAAGTAACACAAAATGCTTGTATCCAAGATTGGCTACTAATTGGCTGTATGCGTTCCGCTGATCGTATTCCACCACAAAGTGCCTGTGAAGATCGAGTTTGTGGCGGAACATTTAGTGCCGAAGTTGGCATGGTACAAAAAACCGTACAATGTAAGTTTCACAGGTGTCTTATCAAATTATTAACAATTAACAACTTATCGCATTTTTGTTGTTCTATTTAGCAAGCGTTAGACCCTTCCGTCTTTACTTCCACACAGATGGTATCGAAGCGCCGACAGATATAGATAATCGTGGCTTTTGTCTAGATTATGTACAACAACCGTGTACAAATGGGTTTTAAGTATACATTTTATTTGAGTTATTGTCCTATCATATTTTATTATATATAATTTATGATTGTTTATCTGTTAAGAGTTATTATTTATTGCAATAATTTTAAGGTTTTTTGTAGCTTTTTGTATTTTGATAGTTTTTTAATAAAATTGCGAAGTGAAAACCATATATGCAACTAAGTTACAAATAGATAGCTATCATAAACATTTTCCCCATACTCGATTTAAATTTTCGATGAATTTTAACCGACTGGCAAATGAGCATAACTTATATTAAAGACTTGTAACTTTGCATACATGTATTTAAAAACTTTAGGGAACCTCCCCATTCTCCATTTTAAATGTTCAAGTGAAATGAGTGAAATTGCTAATATTATGGGCATCTCAAATGATCGAGTCCATTTAATTTTGCATGAAGAACTACAGATGATCGATCAAAAATGCAAAAGAATGAACATTTCTTAAGCTTGTTTAGATCGTTTTAAGCGAAATAAAACAGTTGATGAGACATAGATCCACCACTATACTCCAGAGACAAACGAACAAGCCAAACAATGGACTGACGCTGGAGAAGTGACCCAAAGAAGGCAAAAAAATTCAATGGGTTGGTAAGGTTATGGCAACGGGTTTTTGGGACTTCAAAGGTATTTTATCGATGTACTATCTGCAAAAGGGCAAAACAATAAATTCAGAGTACTATTGCATCTATTTGGATCAATTAAATGTACAAATTTGAGAAAAATGTCCTGGTTTACAACACAAAAATATTAATTTTTCATCAATACAACACACCAGAGCACAAGAGTGTTTTAACAATAGCTAAAATCACCGAATTAAGGTACGAGTTGCTCGACAAACCACCTTATTTTCCTAATTTAGCTCCCAAAGACTTTAACTTGTTCCCAAATCTGAACAAAAATCTTTGTTGCAAGAGTTTTACCTCAAATGAAGATGCAATTACAGTTGTAAACTACTATTTTAAAGACCTTGAGGAAAACTATTTTAATCAAGGGATAGTATTGCTAGAAAAGCGTTAGACAAAGTGTATTGAAGTTTCAGGAGATTATATTGAAAAATAAAAATATTTTTGAAAAATTAACTATTCTCTTTCATTGATAGGCTAAGAAGTTTCATTGATAGGCTAAGAAGGTACTAAAATCCCCAAAATATTGAATATTCGGTGGTAACGTTAATTGGGGACCGACATAATACTAATTCTACTATATTTGATATTTATTTGTGATTGATCATAATTGTTTGCTGCATCAAGAGTACAATAAAAATTTTTGTATATACCCCCCCCCCCCCATTTTCGATTTTAATTTTTCAAGATTTTCAATGGGCTGGTAAATCGATACCAATGCTTGTTAAGGTTTGTAACTTTACACACATATAATTGAAGATTTAAAATAGAAGAAAAATAATTTACAACAAATTTTTGTTGTTGTTTTGTTGTTGTTTTTTGTAATTAAAGAAAAGTCCTTATTTTTGATGGCGGACATGATAACTCCTCACTGGAACATCGGAATCCGAAAATTCCAACGGTGTTAGAAAGAGTGCATGTCTGGCTCTCGTATGAACTAGGATTATTGACTTCGCTCTATAATTAACAAAATGGCGGACCTTTGAAAAAATATTTTTGGAAAATCGCCAATTTTTTACCAAAACCAAAGTTAAAAAATAAGGAAGATGTCCACCGATTGGCTTTATCCTAGTTCATACGATAGCTATACACTCACAGAGAAACGTGTAAAAATTTGGAATCGATTGGGTTATTAGTTTTTGAGTTATCGTGCCCGCCATTCGCAAAAAAATGTTTAGAGAAAAACGCGTTTAAAGTTTGAGAAGCCCTTCAGCCGTCACTTGATGCTGACACAATAAATCTGCTATATCTTCAAGAGTTCTTGAGATTTTCATTTGAAAATTTGTAGGGACATTTTTTAATTAGTGTAGATTCAAATTATATGAACAAAATTTTTGACCCCGAGAAAACTGCATATGTAAGAAAAATTAAACAATCCACACATTAGTATGGACCATAAATTGAATTTGAATACCATGATTCGTCATTCGTTTGAATATCATGATTCGAGCTCTAAAGTTCCATTTAGCACACATTATTTCCATAAGTACCCTCCACAACCATCCAACAAAACTTCCTGCATACCCCGATCCTACACAATGATTCCAAATTCAAATTTCAGGATTTCTACTCTATTTGTTCACCCACAATTCAAATTGTACTAAATATAGAATTAAGTAAGTATTAATTAAATATAGAACTTCCAAACCTTCCTACTTATCCCAAAACTACACGCCCACAGTGATCCTCAATCCAAGTTTTAGGATTCCAACTCTATCGGTTCACCCACAATTCAAATTGTACCAAATTTAGTACACAGTAATACGAATTTCTAAAACATCCTTCTTATCACAAACCTACACCGCCATAGTGATCCTAAATCCAAGTTTCAGGAATCTAACTCTATCGATTAACTCACAATTCGAATTGTACCAAATTTTAGGATTCCAACTCCATCGCTTCACCTTAAATTGAATTGTACCAAATTTAGTACACATTAGTACAAATGTCTAAAACTTCCTACATATCCCAATCTTACACTCCAACAGTTATGCTGTCTCCAAATTTCATGATTCTAGCTCATTTATCTATTCATCTAGCTAATGGTTCATCTAAAATTCCATAAGTAAAAACTCATAAGTATTAATTTCTTAAACTGAATCCTGACCCCAATTCTACAGTTATCCTGACTCCAAATTTCATTGTTCCCGCTCCATCGGTTCACCCTAATCCAAATTGTACCAATTATAGTACGATTTAGTACTTTTCGTACACATAAGTACAAAAATTCCATAACTACGTACATATTCTAATCCTACTCTCCGGCGGTAATGTTAATTTTAAATTTCAGGTTTATTTGTACCTCCAAATAATTGTACATTCCAAATTTGAAGTTTTTAGCTCTATCCATTCACATTTTACGTACAAATGTAGTACATTTTAGTACTTTACGCATACTTATAGTTCGAAAGTCCAAAAAACCCATTGCTATATATATTCTACACTCCATCAGTGACCCTCATTTAAATTGTAAGAGTTCTAGCTCTACCGGTTCGCCAAATACAAATGGTATCACATTTAGTACTTTCCGTACCGTTCTAGTACGAACTTCCAAAAACCCAGCCTTATCTGTCACCTTTGAACCAATAATGGCCCTCACCCAAAATTTCAAGATTCTAGCTTCAGCCATTTTGTCTGGGCGTTGATGTATCGTTAAATCAGTCAGTCAATCACTTTACTCTTTTATTAGTATAGATACCGTTAGTTTTGTGTGTTCTATTGGTGACAACATTTGTAAAAACTATTGTACCTTGAAATAAAGTAGGATTAAACCAGTAAGGAAAGTAGTAAAGTCGGGAATCGGAGGAAAATATATATGGGAGTTATATCTAAATCTGGACCGATTTTCAGGAAACTTAACACACATCATTCAAGACCTAATTCAGTACGCTGTGCCAAATTTCGTGCAAATCGAAAGATATATGGGGACATTGGTACACCATTTACATTAAATCGGACGAAAATGGATATGGGAGCTATGTCTAAATCTGGATCGATTTTCAGGAGACTTAACACACATCATTCTAGTCCTAATTCAGTACGCTGTACCAAATTTCGTGCAGATCGAAAGATATATAGGGACTTTGGTACACCATTTACCCTAAATCGAACGAAAATATATATGGGAGCTCTATCTAAATCTGAACTGATTTCTCAATTTTAATAGAGTTCGTCCTTGGGCCAAATAAGTGCCCTATGCCAAATTTCATCTAATTCGGATTATAAATGCGACCTGTACTTTGTTTACAATTTAACATGGATAGACGGACGGACATGCGTAAATCGACTCAGAAAATGATTCTATGCATATTCTCAAAAGGACCCATGTGTCTATCTCGTTTCCTTTTGTCTGTTACAAACATATGCACACTGTATCACAGTGTGGTGAAGGGTATAAAAATGATAGGTTAAAGGTTATCCTATTGTGAAATTCAGTTGATATATTACAACCTCCAATTAGGGAAAGGTGTGATCGAAGATAAGGTTGTAGTTGAAGCGAGAAGGTGGTCCGAAGCCCAAAGTTAATATACGTACTGAACGCAATTACAGAACAAAACTCTCAATTTTTTTTTTGATTTCATTCGAATCTACACTAATTCAAGAACGTCCCTAAAAAATTTCCAGTGAAAATCTCAAGAACCCTTGAAGATATAGCCGATTTATTGTGTCAACATCAAGTGACGGCTAAAGGGCTTCTCAAACTTTAAACGCGTTTTTATCTTTTGCGAATGGCGGGCACGATAACTCAAAAACTAATAATCCAATCGTTTCCAAATTTTGACACGTTTCTCTGGGAGTGTATATCTCTCGATATTCGGCGAAGAACTTCCTTATTTCAAAAAAAGATTTTCCAAAAAAAACATCAAGAGCAGCACGCAACCCTTACTACCTGGGCCAAATATAGAGAATATGTACATTTCACACTCGAATGAATATTGGGAAGACGTTATAAGTGACTGACTGATCATCATCGCCCAGCCGAAACGGCTAAAGCTAGAAAATTGAAATTTGTCGGATTTGGTCCGTAGGCTTGTGATAAGACGGGGTTTTTGGAAATTCGTACTAAAAACTGTATTACGCGGGAACGGTTACATGTAGAACTGTGAAAAAATTTTGGAAGAGGTACTATAAAGTACTAAATATTATATTTGAATGGAATCGGTAGAGATAGAACTCTACAATTTGGTATACAGATTTGTCAATAATAAGAGTGTGAAATGTACAAAAAAATCCATTTATTATTTAATACAAACAGTTAAATGCCCCTATAATAAAAAAACTTAATTTTTTTTAGTTTTATTCTTTTTTATTTTGTTTTTATTATTGAAATATTACTAGGTTTTCGTTATTTTATTATTAATTTAAAAACTACAATTTAGATTTTGTAAGTTTATCTAAGAAATAAGTTATACATGTGTTTGTTTGATTTTATTATCATCAATTTTTTAAAACATTTTTTATGGTTATTTAAATTTTTTGGTTTAGGAAAAATACATTATTTGTTTTATATAATTACACAATTACAAAATAAATGATAAATAATCAACAAAAATAAAAACTGGATATTTAACAAATTCATAAATTACACACTAATATTACATGTTTTTCTTTTTTAGAAATTGGTGTTGTAAATCAACGAAAACAAAACATTTGATTGGTCTATATAATTAGGCATAGATTCTATATATAGATCAATCAAAAGTTTGTATCTCACTTACAATAGAAACTATGTGAAAGTTTATAAAATAAAACTAAATAAAAATACATCTATGTGATGTATTCGAAATATTTTACATATTATATATATTGATGTTGTTCTGATGTTTGTAAATCGTTTAAAGTCGTTTGTTTTTATTACAATAAAAATACCCGCAGTTTTATTCGTTTGTTTTACTGGTTTCTAATGTTCTTCACAATGCCATATGCGCGCTTTTCTCTTTTTATTTTATATCGAGCACATTCGTTTTCCAAATTCGGCCATTCTGCACCTTTTAACTTTGCAATTACAAGTACTTTCGTTCTTGAGATCGTCTTTTATACAAAATAGTATTTTTTTTTTTTAATAAAAGTGTTATGGTTTTTTCACGATTCCATATTCAGTCTACTACGAAGAAATTCTATATGTCAATTATTTTTTTTCAGCATCTAGAGACCAGCTATTGTTAAGCTGGCCTAAGTTTTAGTAAGTCTTTATTAGAGCTGCAACCTGAAGTTTCTCCTCTTCGGTTAAACCGTTTTTCAGAGTACGGCGCACTGGAATTAGAGTAAAATTAAGATATATTTTATATTAGAATGGTTTATTTATGAATGTGCTTAAACATGCAGCATTCTGTTAGTATTAAAAATGAAATTTTGAATTTGACGAATTATTAAAAGGTATTCAAATTAATACTACAAAATCAATAACAACGTTTTTTTTTAATTAAAAATAAAAAACAGAAACACGAATGAAGAACATGTATATAGGACGACTTAGGTTGAAAGTATAGATTAGTATCCTCATCTTACCGAAAATATAGTGGTAGCTTGGTATTGGGGATATGTAAAATCATAGATCTGTATTAAACATTTTCTGTTATTTTTTATTCGTCAGAATTCCCACTTTGGCGGAAAATGTAGCTAAACATTCAAAATACCAAAAATAAATCGGGATCTTTATATGGAAGCTATGTCTACATAAAAATCGGACTACCAAATTACATCCAATATTTAGGACATATGCGGGAAAGTTCGCCATAACACCCAAAAAATATGGGGTATCATAATCATACCCTATTTTCTATAAAAACATGAACCTAAATCGATTTTTTTCAAAAATGTTTTTTTAACGTTCAAAAATTCAACGTTCCAAATTACACTTCGACTGCCAATATGGCTAGAAACCTAAAAATACCCTTTAGTCTTGATTTAGATTAGGCGAGTTTACTTGCGGCAAGTCTTTGTTTGTTGGAGAGAGGGGCAAGAGGTATGGAAATGAAAAATAATTGCTCGTACCGACATATTTCTGGCAATTCGTTTTGTGTATTTCGTATTTGTTGACATTTTATATATATTTAAATGTGAAAAAACAACAAATGAAAAAAATTTTGGAAACCGAATTGCCTTGTATAGACGCATGGAGCAAGTTCAAAAGAGAACGATAAAAATTGCCGCAAGTAAACTCGCCTAATATAAATCAGGACTTATATAGAACCTACGTAAAAACTTATACCCATAACGAAATTTTTCAACTATATTTGCCCCCTTCAAGAGGACAAAATGCCAAATTAAAGCCGCTTTGGAGGTTCGTCTATAAAGGCTATTTTCAGGTCGTCTAAATTATTGTCTATGAATAGTTCATATAGCTCGTCTATAAAACTCCCTTCAGCTCTTTTATAAAGACTCCCTTTTAGCAGGTTTATAAAGATACCCTATTATCTATAAAAACATGAACCTAAATCGATTTTTTTCAAAAATGTTTTTTTTCAACTTTCAAAAATTTAACGTTCCAAATTACACCGCGACTGCCAATATGGCTAAAAACCTAAAAATACCCTTTATATAGAACCTACGTAAAAACTTATACCCATATCGAAATTTTTCAACTATATGTGCCCCCTTCAAGAGGACAAAATGCCAAATTAAAGCCGCTTTGGAGGTTCGTCTATAAAGGCTATTTGCAGGTCGTCTAAATGATTGTCTATGAATAGTTCATATAGCTCGTCTATAAAGACTCCCTTCAGCAGGTTTATAAAGATTCCCTACAGCTCCTTTATAAATACTCCATTCATATCTATAAAACCACTCATTAGATCCCTTAAAATACTTCAATTCATCTATAAAGATATTTTTGAGTTTGCATCTTCAGACTTTCTAGTGCTCATCAATTATGTCTCTTCTGAGTCCGCGTACAGAAGCCCCTTTACAATGATAAGAAAAAGGAAGCCCGAACCTTAGTAATAGTGGAAACCAAATGATATAGAATATAAGAAAAGGCTGACAAATAATTCTGAATATGGCCTTCCAGTAGTTTCTTACCGAATACTGGAATTGACATTTGACTACTTTAAACATAATTATTAGCACTCTGCTGCTAAGGGAATCCTTAATAATGGCTATTAACTGGTCATATCATATTATCAACCATAGATAATAAATTGAAAGAAAAAAAATTACCCTCCCGGCTATACAAAACCATGGGTATTTCTTAGCTAACATTATTATCAGACCTCACTGTTTTTATGATCTATTATATTGTATATTTTTATTGCATTTCATCGATATCTAAGACAAACACACAGTGTATTTGGAGAAAAGTTTCCAAGACTACTCGGCACATGCAACGATAAGCTTTGGTTGGTAATAAACGATGGCCAATAAGGTTAGTCATGGTATAAAATGAGCAATGGCAAGCAAATCAACTAGCATTAACAGCTTGTTATTCAATACAACTGGTAAGCATAACAAATTAAAATTCTTTACAAAGAAACAAATTTTAATTTAATTTTATATTTTTTCTTTAATTTTTTGTTTAACATTAGATCTAAAGCCCCTTGATCAAACATGGATGTAAGTTAAATGATCGCGAAGTTTATTCAAATTGGTTGCTAATGAATATTACAATCTTTACAGTTCGAAACCGCCACCCAAAAAGCCAAATCCTTCACCAAGACTCCCCCAGATAATGTATTCTTGGAATTCTACGGTCTCTTCAAACAAGCCACCGTTGGCGATTGCAACGTTGCCCAACCCGGTGCTTTGGACTTGAAGGGTAAGGCTAAATGGAATGCCTGGAACTCCAACAAGGGCATGAGCCAAGATGCTGCCAAGGCTGCTTATATTGCTGCCTACGAAAAGTACGCTCCCCAATATGCTTAAATTAGTGTTTGTGATAACCGGCTATGATATTTGAACAATAAAGATTTAAATTATTGAAAAAAAGAACATCTTGTGTATTTATTGGTTTCGTGAAAAATTGGGAAACATACTGGCGACAATCCATTCTTTGTAATACCGATAAGTCACCTTTAACAACTCTTTCGCTTCATATTCAGACTATAAAGACTTCGTCTATAAATATTTCCTATAGTCTTTCTATAATGAATCCGTTTTAACCCATTAATAAAGTTTCAGAGTCATTTCGTCTATAAAGACACATTTTCAGCTAATCTATAAAGATATACTTTCAAATTATTTTCAAATCTTCTAAAAAGACACCCTTCAACTGGCCTAAAAAGACTCCATTCAACACCTCTAAAATTACTCCCTTCAGCTTGTCTAAGTCAACCATTAAGCTCGACTATAAAGACTCCCTTCAGCTCGTCCATAAAATCTCCCTTCAGCTCATCTATAAAGACTGCCTTTAGCTCGTCCATAAATAATCCCTGCAGCTCGTCCATAAAGACTTTTTTCAGCTCGCCATTTAGACTACGTTTTATCTCATAAATATAAAGTTCCTTTAACCTATATAAATTCTGTTTATTTAGATGTTATTTCTCCCGATCGTACCTAATGTTATTATTGTGAAGACTTCCATGACTTATACTTGTCTAAGTTCGTGCGAACTTGGATTTCTGCATATTAACAATTTTAAAAACAATAATACAAGCAAACTTTAAAAACAACAATAAAATCAAAATCAACACATGCACTTTTGAACCAATTAATTTAAATCAAACAAAAGCAAAAAAATTTAAAACTTATAAATTAAAATTCGAACGGAACCAAAATAAAAAAAATATATAAAAATAAAATGATGCACACTAACCATTATAACCAAAACTAAAAAATGGCTGTGATAGAGCAACGCAATAACTATGCCGTTGTAATTCTTTCAACTGTGAATCCTTCGCGGGTACGTGAACGCTTCACTTCATTTAAATGAATTTTCCATTTGGTTTCAAAACAACAAACATGAAGGCATTTAATGAATGAAAGGATGGGTGTATGTGTGGGTGTGTGTGATTGAATGAAATATCAGTATTCAACAAAATGTCCATTGGATTATGAATGAATGGGGAAAATGTTGTGAAGGGAAATAGGTGGTATTGTGTGTTAGAAACAATGTACAGTTTTTTACATCAAAGGATAAGCACCCCAGGAGATTATTATTGAATAAAAAAAAAACGTTACACCAATGCCATTATGAAGAGATATGGTGATGATGGTGAAGATGTATGAATGAATATATGAGAAAATGAAAACAAAAATAAATTTGTATTAGAAAACAAAAAAATACACCAATAGTTTAAACATAAAACACTAACATAAATAATTTGAAATATTTTATACATTTTTTTAAAAGAAAACTAGACTGTGAAAGCTACAAAAAGGATCAACTCTATAATTAAATAGCTGGTATTGTTGGCATACTTAAAGTATGCTATTAATGTTTTTATATATTCAATCAATACAGCAATTAAATACATAGTTTATCAATTGATTTGATAAAAATTAATAAATTTACAATTTATCTCTTAATGGAACTTTCACAAGCTAATATCAATGATATGTCAATTGAACAAATATACATTTAACTACTAGGAATAACGAGTATAAAATAAAAAGTATGAATGTGAACATATTTCTGTTGAAATTATTAATAATGTTCATGTTCATCATGATAGGTATCAAAACAGAAACCTAAATATTATGATTTCAAAGAAATAAAACCAAGAATATGTTTGTAATAATAATTGAAGAATTCTGAATAACATTTTATGACAAAGTTTCCAGAATACGCATTAATAGGAATGCAAATAAAATGTTTACTTTTACAAAAATAAATTGAAATGTCCCAACATCAGCTCGCCGATAAATACGACCCTCAGTCAGTCTATAAAGACTCCCTTTCAGCTCTTCTATAAAGAAACCGTTTGTATTCATTTGTATTCATTTCGTCTATAAAGAATCCCTTTAAGATCGTCAATAAAATCTACCTTTCAGTTCTTCTATAGATTCTACCTCGGAGTTCGTTTATAAATGAAAAGAATTGTTCCTTTTCTTTTTTTAAGACACCCTCGAGATCTTCTATAAAAAAAAGACGCCTCCTGCTACGGCTTTATCCAATGAGATCCTCCGCAGTCCTATGTTAAAATTTCTTCCTGTTAACTTTGATATATTACTTTCTACTCTTCTCATCTATAAAGATAACCACATGCTCGCCTTACAGACTCCTTCCAACTCGCCTTATTAGACTCCTTCCAGCACGTTTGGTAAAACCCTTCATACTCTTCTATAGAGAAACTCCATGCTCGTCTGTCATATTTTATTCTCATCGTTCAATATACCTCCTGTCTTAGAGACCCTTTCCAGCTCGTTTATTTAAGCTCCTTCCTGTTCGTATATTAAGCCTTCTATTAAAACTCCATCGTACTTGTCTACAAAAACTCAGTCCTGTTCTTCAATAAAGACTCACTTCTATTGATTTATTTTTCTCCCTTCTATTTGTTTATGAAATCTCCCGCTTCGTCTATAAAGACTGTTCACTGTATATTAAGACGCCTTCCAGATGGTCTATTGGATTCCCTTCCGGTCGACTTCATAGACTTCTTCCTATGTATTTTTATATATTCTCTCATGCTTGTTTATTATTCCTTCCTCCTGTACGTTTATACATTTCATTTGTACTCATTTCATAATACTACATCCTGTTCGACTACTAGAACTCCATTCTGATTTTATATACAGTTCTTTTTTAAATATAATTATTTAAACGAATTACCTAACGAATTCTGGAAACGTGTCTCTACTTAAAGTACTAGAAATGTTTGAGATATTAAATAGTAAATAAAATAATACTTACATGATTTTCTATCAGCGTGTCGGGTACGTTTACGTTCTCTTGGCGTTGTTCTATTGCCTGGAGCTTTTGTGGCAGTCTTGACCAGCGATTCTAATATCTCATCATCACCATCGGTGAAGTTCTCTTCACTTTGGCGCATTTGGGGTGAGCGTAGATTTTCGGCACGACGACGTCGCCATGTTAACGTGCCATCGGCATTATCTGAACTGGGGGTGCCCAAAAGTTCTCTGTAGAAAAAACAGTAGACAATTAATAAATGTTTTGAAAAAAAAAAAACATTTTGATGATTTACTTCAATTCAGCATCCTGTTTATCTTCTTTGGTCTTAAATTTGGCAATATCAACTATCAATTTGCCTCGGGTCTTGTTGCGTTCACGATGATTGGCTTTCTTTTCGATTTGTTGTTGGACACGTTCACGTGTCGTACGATACTCTAGGGCGAATTCAGAAAGAATACGACAGAATTCATTGGGTTTGGAATCGGCAACACTGTGTTGTGGTACACCCAACCATAAAAGGAATTTGCGGTAACTATAAAGAAAGGATATTTAAATAAATATTAAATAAATAAATTATTTTTGTTGTTTATAAATATTCTACCGATTCATAACACGCCGATGCACAATTTGCAAAATAATTATCCTCTCTGCACAGTCGGCCAAAAAGTCCACCAATTTCTGTTGCAGCTGGGGTGGGCAATCATGTTTACACATTAATTTCAAACGATCCCATGATGCTTTACATTCATTTTCCAACTGGGAGAGATTGTAGGCCAGCTCATTGAAATCAGCCTTTGAGGCACGGGTGATGGGACCAATTTCGGAATACAAATCGGTGGTTTCCATACCCGATTCCATGACAATGTGACACAGGTGATGAAGCAATGAATGCTTGTGGACGGTGTCTTTTACCTCAGGAACCTGCAAATAGGATTACAAATTTATTAGAACCTAGAAATATTTTTATTTTTCTCTGTTTGAACTTACCTTAGCTAAATACTCGATTTGGAAACCTTTGACAGGGGCACCATTCAAGAATATGCCCACCGATAACAATGTGGATAGAATACATTTAAATGTACGATTATTTCTCAATATTTCTATGCCATGTTTCAAATCCATCAAAGGTTCAGCAATTTCTCTCTGTAACATAAATTGTAAAGATTTTTGTAAATAATTTTCTGTGAATGAAAGTTCCAGACTACAATAACTTACCTCACTATTATCAAAATCTAAACGGAATGCCCATAATCTTAATCTAGCTGGTAATTCTGAGATAGATGCCAATGTCAGTAGAAACTGTTCGGCGCTGCCTAAGGGTAATTCGGGGTTTGCCATCTAGAAAAATTAACAAAAATTAGTATTTTGATTTTGAAAAATATTCAGGTATTAGTATTTTTATGAACAAATGTGGAATATAGATCTTTCGGGACTATGTAGATATATTCCCTCCATAGTTGTATATGAAAAAAATAGCCTTCACTTACCTGTGCCTCTTGAATTTTACCCTTCTCCTCGTCGGTTGGCAACATATTCAATAGTTTATCAATACCCTCCCGGGTAACCACTGTTGCATCCATTTTCAAAATGGCCGCCTTAATAGCACGAGGCGGTGGTAATTTGGTCATGGCGATATTAATGGCATTCGATCTCTTGTGATCGAGAACAATGACCTCCTTGCTTTTGTTCATTTCTTGTTGTTTCTGTAACACAACCAGTGGGGAATTAGTAAAACTGATAACTCAGAAAAAATAATTTTTTATTATGATGTTTAGCGTAAATAATAAAAAGCTCAACTATTGTGACAATATGTAAATTATTTTGCATGAAGTGACCATCACCATTTTTAAGAATAAATTGTATTCAACATATTTTTATTATTATTTTATTAATAGTTTTTATTTTATTAATATTTTCATTACTGGTTTACTACTCTAAAATTATTATTGATAATTTTTTGAGTGATAATTGTTGCGCATTATTTTATTATTACAATATAACAACGACACTTGACTCACAAACACACAAAATTATTTGTTTGCTACTTAAATTAATGTTAAATATTTAGTAATTCGTTGTATTTGTGTTGCTGAAATAATATTTTGGTTTCTATATTTTATTTTTTCTGAGGACATATGGGCATTTTGAAATATTTAAACCAGAGTACTAGCACACTTTGTTTTGGAGGAATAAAATATTGTGTAAAATATATTGTGAATATTTTCAATTCTTAAGGGTGTAAACAAATTTAAGTAAACCCGTGCAAAAAATGTAAAAGTTCATTTCGGTTGGTTGTACCATGAAATAAAAAATAAACTTTTCCCAATAAGTCATTATTAACATGACAAAATTTATATTTTACAACAACGTGGGACCCTTTAAGCATGTCTCTAAGCAAAAATGTCACCATACCGAATTGGTGGTTCATACCTTACAAATAACAAAAATGGGTGGTGCAGTTTATGGGGTATATTTCAAACAGTAGATAAACAGTTTTTATCGAGAATTTTCCTTACGCACTGGTTACAGTTAATTAAAAATATCATAAAAATCTGAAAGTACCACTGAAATTTCAAAAGTTTATACAATTTGACACCGGATTACGATATATGGGAGAAATTATAATATTCTTTCCATCAAAATAATATGTAGAATTTTGAATTTGAAAATTAAGTTACGAATGGTATAAAGCATGGTACAATCAATCAAGGTGGACTATAGCAACTTATAAATTAAAATTTTGTCATATTTTGGCTTGTTATGCCAAAGTCGTATGCAAAATGTGTAACTGTGTATGTGATGTTTTGAAAAATATATTCTAAAATACATTTGTTTAAAGAAGAATTTTGCAACATCGGTAAGAAGAAATTTATGATTTACGAATGAATAAAAAAATCTATATGTTCTCTGGAACAAGGGTCGTTTTTGAAACGACTTTGCCTTTGAGCAAGCTTCGGTCACGATTGAATGCATTAAACTACTTTATAATACATAATAAACATTTTATATTAGGGTTATGACGTTTTTGCAACCTCGTATGCCAGTATCATATCATAGATTAGATAAAGTTTTAATAATAAAAAAAGTTTACTCTCAAAATAATAGGCAACATTTTTTTTCATTTCTACTATTTAAAATCTTTCTAATGAAAAAGTCGAAAATACACAAATTGAAGTTCATCGATTTATCGTGATTTATCTACGTAGAAAGTTGTGAAAAATTGTCCCACGAAAACGTTCATGAGTTAATTTCATTTTTTGGCATATTGACTGTAAACAACCATATGGGTATGTTCTCCAAAATATGGTGTGTTTTTTACATTTCACACATCGACTTCCCCTCAGAAGTTACTTCCTATTTTACTTCTCACGTGAATTGAATTTTTCGAACTTCTGCACAACAAAACCTTTATACTATAAAGAAAGACATGGTACTTTGCAGAAATAGTGTTGACATAGAATATTAATTGCATTAATTTTTAACATTGTGTCTGTCATTTTTTGAAATTTCGTTAATTCTAACGATAATTTCATTATTATTTTTTAATATTTTATTATTCACAACATGAATAAGATGTATGAAAGACTCTGTAATATAATTAATTTGTTGATTGATTTAAGAGGAACATTTGGTAACCATATCTTGTACGATCTTATTTCAAATCATCTGTTTGTGTCAAGCGAGAGATCCATTCGGAAAAAATTGTATACAAACCTAGTGTCGATTTGTAATGGGTTTTTAATGGCGTTTCATCTTAATTTTGTGATTTTAAACAAATTATTCGCAATAATAACATAAATAATAATCTTTTATATAGAATAACATGAATACACCCGACTCTCACTATGAAAATGTAGTGTAAAGAATTCACTTCAAAAAGGTGTAAAGTGTGTTACAGAACAGCTTGACGTGTGTTCGATACACCTCTAGCGTTGAAGTGAATGCCAGGACATGCCTGATAATGAGTTCGCTTCTGGAAATGTCATATGGCACCAGAAATATATTTTTACCGTCATTGTGAAGCCGATTTCGATCAATTGTCGCCATAACTTTATAGACACAGCTGTTTCGTGTGTTTTTCGCTATTTTTTAACTCGTATGCTGTACTTAAACATAAAATGATATATGTATATAAAATGTACCATAAATATTAAATACATACATATAAAAAATATTTTTAAAATAAATAAATGCTAGCACAATTGATGCTTAATGTTAAACCATTAACCAAAGCAGATGAAGTTGTATATTATAAAAATATTTCCAAAACCAATAGGTTGTTCGCTGCGTGGAACCTTATTGACTCAATTTTTTACCCAACTTATTTGAATTTATCTTAGCTATAGGATTTTGTGTAGAATTAGAATTAATTGAAAGTTAAATAAATTAATATAAAAATTACATTACAGAACCGATCACAAAGAACATAGACATATTCCATGGAATATAACTTTTTTTGATAACTATGCCAATAACACTTACAACAAGTGCTGTGAATGTAACAAAAACAAAATTAATAAAAGTGCTCTGTGAAAATGAAAGCTACTACAAAGAAAAGTTGGGGACATAACAAGTGAGAAGACCAACACCACTATCTACGACTACCCATAAACTTTTTGTTTTTTAATTTATTCGACATTAGATTACGTTTGGCAATTGGCCAGCAATCTAAAGTCATTACAAAAAAAATGGACTCACCTCCTATAGGAGTTTAAATTGGATATATATGGAAACAAAGGAACATGAATTGTTTGGTTTTTTAAATTCATTTTAAAGAGAAACATATTTTTTTGGTATACAAAATAGAAGGCACAAAGAAAAAAGAAAAATAAATTTTATTAAATATCTTTTTGGCAATTTTTTTTTTAAGTGGCAATAATAAATTTGCCATTTTCCACCCCCACGTACCTTGGTCATTAAATCTTTTGCTCTTGATTCAAATAAATGTTCCAATTTCTGGGTATCCACTGTGGCTGGTGGTAATTCATCCCAAATGGTTTTGCCCACCGATACGGGTATTAGATCTTCGCGTACCTCTTTCCAAAATAGTTTCACCTAAATTTTACCACAAAATAATAATTAAATTTGAAATTATTAAATTAAAAGAAAACATTTAGTTCTTACCGTTTTCTTGCTTTTCCGTATGGTATCACCATTAATAGAACCATTCAGTGAACTATTGAGGCTATTGGTTAAACTGGAATTGGCATAGCCACTGTTACTCAACATGGGTGGTGGTATAACACCGCTGCCATTGCTGGTATTTGACTGTGACATCATTGGTGGTGGTAGAACAATATGCTGGGGCATCATTGGTGGCGGTAGAGCCACACCAACCATGGGTGGTGGTGGTGGGGGCACCCCACGTCCTGGACCTCTAGGCGCCAATATATCTTTATCATCATCGGAATTGAGGTCAGTAAAATCGAGATCACAGAGTTGTAATGGCCGTACCATATTGCGTACCAGCTCTTCCCATTGTAATTCATTTTCGGATTTTTTCGGTTCGGGTTTTTTAATTTCCTGGTCGACACTGGAAGCTCTGAAAGAAATTGAAATTATTATATAGAATGTGAAATAAATATTATATATTATATATATTATAAATATTATAAATGGCTATATTAGATTATACAGAGGAACTTCTGAAAATGGAAGACTTCTTGTGTAAACAGTAGAACAAAAGTCTTCTTGAGTCCTTATATAAATTTTTCTTTATGTTTTAAACCATGTGTTAAACCATATGTTTTAAACCAAAATCGTCTTTGTATAGACTTGCTGAAGATTTTTTTCAATAGATTATAGGATTATCTGTTTATAGAATATTTTCCGGCGATATTGTCGCATTTTTTTCAGTCGGTTAGACTATATCAAAAACGATCTTTATCACAAATGCAAAAAGTTTATAAAGATTTTGTGAACACAAAAAAAAAACGATAAAAAAATAAAAGTAACAACAAATTCCCAAAAAAATTCTAATCATTTTGTTTCGCACCAAATATTATCGCAAATTGTGAATTTCGTATAAATTGCGGTTATTGTGTACTAAGCAACATCAGTTTATTTCAAAACTTTTGAGAAGTAATACCAATCAGTTAAACATGGATGTAAGTATTAAAGTTTGAGCAAACGATTTTTCAAAATATAAATTCAATATATTCTTTTTTCATTAATTTGTAGTTCGAAACCGCCACCCAAAAAGCCAAATCCTTCACCAAGACTCCCCCAAATGATGTCTTCTTGGAATTCTACGGTCTCTTCAAGCAAGCCACCGCTGGTGATTGCAACGTCGACAAGCCCAGCGCTATTGATGTTAAGGGTTCAGCCAAATGGAATGCCTGGAACGCCAACAAGGGCATGAGCCAAGATGCCGCCAAGGCTGCCTATGTTGCTGCCTACGAAAAGTACGCTCCCCTCTATGCTTAAATCATTGCTAAACTGTTGAATCTGTCCGTGCCCCTTTTTTCTTTGTTAATTAATTATTTATTTTTGTTAATAAATTAAACATTTTCTAAAGTAATATAAAGAAATCGTTGTTAATTGTGAAGTAGGGATGAAATTTTAATATTGTAAATATTTTAACAAAAATTTTTGGTAGGAATTTTGTATACCTTTCAAAGCGTTTTTAAGGGAAAATGAAATTCTAAGTGATGTAGGAAGTAATACACTTCAAAATAAACAAAGGGTTTTGTACGATTTCTACTATATCGCTGGCTTAACATAAATAGGCAATAAATCCACTTTTTCTAGAAATTCAGATTTTTATACAGATATATTTTTACTTATTGAAAACTACAGTTATCTCATTTGTTGTTTTTGTAGTGATGAATAAAAGTCAGAGACTGCTACATATAGACAATCTGAAAGCCTAAGAAATTCTTGCGAACGAAGCCCTTCCAAAGGAAGGACATATAAGGTTATTTCTACGTAAGAATGTCTACTAAGGATTTCCAAAAAAAGACAATCTTAAAGGGATGTTCTATAAATAGGAGGCATTATTAAAGATAAAAGACCTTCGAAAGGTATATCTTACACAGAAAATCAATCATAGGCCTTCTAGACAAAAACAAATACCCTTTGTAAACTAAAGACTTGCAAGTCTGAAGTCTCTCTAAATATCTTTTAAAAGTGACAGGCAACTACACATCAAAAATATCATGTATATGTCCTACACTTTCCATATTTTTCATGTAAAAAATTGTTATAATCATGAGAAAGTCACTATTTTTCCAAAAAAAATTAAACATTTCATTAATACCACAACTATTTTCCTAATTTGCTCTACTTTATTGCTATTTGCGCTCACTTTCCTCTCTCTCCTTTTTTAACAAACACCATTCACAGTTCGCCTGTGTTTTGTTTTGGTCTCATTCTCTGCCTCTCTCCTTAATTGGTGTTTGTTATCTTTGCAACCGTTTATTTGACTGCTGTTTGTGTGGCTAAGCGCCGACTTTCCACTCTTACCGACCTCGGCATTGGTGTTACAAAATTCGCATATGTATTTTCCAAATTATTTCGATATAAATGCTAAATACAATATATTAAACAAGTGTTGATACTAACAACAAGCCCAACCGAATGTTCAAAATTGAATATGCTTGTTCTAATGACGCGCAGAATATGAACATGTAATCAAAAATAAAAAAAAATCAAAATAGAAAAATTAAAACGACAAAGAAACGGTGACGGGGTTCTATGGCACCACAAAACACATACACTTCAAAGTTGTTTTTTCACTCTCTCAGCATTTAAAGTTTTATGAATTGCTTTCATAAAATGCAAAAATCCCGACATCAGCAACACTTTCTGAACACTATTCATATAATATACCATTTTTTTCTTTGTAGAGTCTGTCTATATAGTGTCTTTATATGGGAAATCATATGCATACGTTTTTTGAATTCATTATATAACCAGAAGATCACCTAATTCTAATTGCCTTGTGTGGAAAGTCACCAATATACCCTCTGTAGCCAAATGTGTTTCTAAAGTTCATCTACAAATTAAGGTCGTCAAATGACTCTGAATGTCATCTAAATGTCATCTATAGAAAAATAAATTTTGAGAAGATTCTGTAAACGTTTTTAGATGCAGATTTACAATCACTATCCAAATGACTCACATCATTCCCGAAACCTACTTCGAATCTCTCCTATGTGCATATAATCAATTAGAATTTGTTGTTAAACATAAAAGAAAATTATAAAACTACTGTCAATTAATTACTCCCAATTAGTCGACTTATCGGAATTCTTATCAAGTATCTGGGTACAATGTTTATTTTATTGCCGACAAGAGCGGTAGTTCTAAAGGCGTGTATGCCTCCTGAATAACACGTATGCCGAAGAGGTCTTTTATATATAAATGTTCTTATCGCGGTATGGTTAATTTCTTTGCTAGGGTAAAAGGCTAATAAATGTTGTCATCGATCGATTACCAATAATTGTGACGATAGGTTGTGGGTAAGCGGCAATAAAAATAAAATGTATAATACAAAAACAACCACGGCAATACCATATAAGTACATGCAGCCGGCGATATTGCTGCAAGTTTATCAATCGGTTAAACCATATCAAAAACGATCTTTATCACAAATACAAGAAAAGTTTATAAAGATTTTCTAAACACAAAAAATCGATAAAATAAAATAAAAGTAAAAACAAATTCTTAACAAATTCTAATCATTTCGATTCCCACAAATATTATCGCAAATTGTGAATTTCGTATAAATTTCGGTTATTGTATACTAAACAACATCAGTTTATTTCCAAACATTTGAGAAGTAATACCAATCAGTTAAACATGGATGTAAGTAATAACATTTGGTAAACATTTTGATTTGAATGGAAAGTTTATAATTTGTTCTTTAATTTTTTAGTTCGAAACCGCCACCCAAAAAGCCAAATCCTTCACCAAGACTCCCCCAAATGATGTGTTCTTGGAATTCTACGGTCTCTTCAAGCAAGCCACCGCTGGCGATTGCAACGTCGACAAGCCCAGCGCTATTGATGTTAAGGGTTCAGCCAAATGGAATGCCTGGAACGCCAACAAGGGCATGAGCCAAGATGCCGCCAAGGCTGCTTATATTGCTGCCTATGAAAAATACGCTCCCCTCTATGCTTAAATCATTGTTAAACTGCTGAATCTGCCCGTCCCCCTTTTTCCTTTGTTAATTAATTATTTATTTTTGTTAATAAATTAAAAATTTTCTAAACTAATATATACAAATTTGGTTGTTATTTGCAAATTTTTGTGTCGGTTAAAAATCTATATTGGAAATCTATATTAAAAATGGAAATCTATATTAAAAAAAATCTATATTAAAAATGTTTGTAGCTTCAAAAAACATTTGCAAAAATTGTATAAAAATTGTTTCCTGGTCAAGTGGATCAGACCATTCTGAAATGGTATCCAAGTGGACTTGTACCAAACACGAAGTGATTTTTGATCGAAATTGAGCACTTAAAAAACTTAACCAATATTTAAAATGTTTGACCTTGATATTGTTTGAAAACAGACCGTGTACATAAGCACTTCGGCCACAAAATTTTCTGTTAATTTGATTTTTTTTACATCCGACCACAAAATTAAAATTAACCCATGTGATAAGTTTTCACAACATTCGACGTGAATTGCCACGATGAATCTATAACCTTAAATTTTTTATGACGAGGAAGTATCACAAAACTGAGCGGACGCAGATTGAAAATGTTGTATGACATCCGAATGATTTACTTTCGAACATTGTTTATCATTCATTATTCATTTTGAAAATCGAAACCCGTCGCATAATGGTGGGAATGTAGTATCTCTCTAACTTCCCTTTTAATTACAACATCGATCGTGTAGCTTCTCTCGAAAGAGAAATAAATAAAAACACATTTCACAATAAAAAGGCATAATACTAAAAAGTTCATTTTGATGCCGGCTGGGGTTTGATATCCTTACAATTTCATGTCAATGTTCCCTTGAATGAGGGAATCGGGCAGAGTTGGAGTCGTCTGCGTACCATGGAACAAATTTATGGAAAACGATTTATAGCTAAATTGATACAAGCTATTCGGTACGCCGCACTGTTAAAAATTTAATCAGGCACCCCTACGAAATACATATGGAAGCTTTGGCTTCCATTCAAGTCTCAATTTGATACGTTGTGCAAAATTTCGTTTTAATCGGACAAACATTAAGAGTTTGGTGCACCATTTATGTAAAATCGGGCTAATATATATTTATATGTGGGCGCTATATCGAAATCTGAACCGATTTTTCCGAAACTTATCACACATCATTATAGACTCCATTCAGTACGCTATGCAAAATTTCGTGCAAATCGAAGGATACACAGGGACTTTGGTGAACCAATTACATAAAATCGGACGAAAATATATATGGGAGCTATATCTAAATGTTAACCGATTTTTCCGAAACTTACCACACATCACTCTAGACTTAATTCAGTACGCTATGCCAAATTTCGATCAAATCGAAGGATATATATTTCAATAGGATTCGTCCTTGAGCCAAATAAATGAGCTGTGCCAAATTTCATCCGATTCGAATCAAAAATGCTACCTGTACTTTGTTTACAATTTAACATTGACATACAGACGGACAGACATGTAATAATCTGCTTAAAAAGTGATTCTATGCATATTCTCAAAAGTAACCGCCTACGGGGAGCAGAGCTGAATGCTAACAGACGCGTCCACAGGTTGCGGATAGTGGGAAGCCCAACGCCATTCGTTGGGCAATTGTGAATAACCAATAAATAGTCGCGGACAATCAGGGGGAGAGTCTCGGAGGAAATGACCGAGTGTCTATGATCCCTGGGCTGACGATAATATCCATTTAAAAAGGTTTGGGACACTACCTTCTTAAAGTGTCTCCCCTAACGCTGTGGTGTCATGCGACCTCGTGCCTATCAGCGTTCCACGGTTTGCAGTCAGGGTACCGACTGTATTAGAACGGAGCCTTGTTGATGCCTCAACAAGTGTTTTCAGGCTTAGTTGCCAAGTCCTTGCCATGGTAAAAGGCTATGCCATGGTCGACCTCAAACCCTCACACACAGCACTTACTATGGAGCCGTATTTTAATAACCGACCCCCCCCCCCAAAAAAAACAAAAACAACGCATGCGATTTGTCGACTGATGCTGGTGTGGCTGTCTTGGCACCCTCAGTCTCGAATTCTACAAGGTCAGATATCAATGAATCCCCCAAGTGTTGACGACCCAAGCAATCCCCCTGGACCTCTCTTTAGCCAATTGTCCCTCTCTCGACGACGTTAATGCAAGCCTGGAGAGGCAGTCGGATCTTCTCCTCAATCTTCTAGAGGAAACCGGCTCCTTCCGCCTTAGTCAGGAGAGCATCCCGAATCAGCTCTGGGATGACTCGCCCTTGTCGGACGAGAATGACATCATGGAAACTACGGTGATTAGAACTACGGTGATAAACACAGTAGCAACCATGGTGTCTCCTCTGAAGCAAGGAGGGTCATCCCAGTTGCTGACTAGGAAAGTAAGAAATGTCATTCAATTGTTATATTTTGAGTAATATTGTCCGGCTATAAAACCGGAGATCTCCAGTGCGAGGTTCAGTATCAGAAAACAAAACTGGTTGAATAAAAACTTGGTTATGTGTGCTCGTACCACAACTTTTAATATCCACCATTATAAGGTTGGCTTTAAAAATATCGGTATCTAATAAAGAGTTATGCCATAGAAATTTACTATGAGGAGGTTGTATATACTCTGAGGAAACGATATAAGAAATTATCGGCTTTAATTGCAAAATTCGGTTACATATATTGATAATTTCATCCCAATTTACAGTCACTTCGGATAGAAAATGCAATGAGGCCATCAAAATACCTAAAATGGAGTGCGATATTTATATGAGAGTTATTTCGAATCATAAACATATATAAAAAAAAATAAACGGTGATGTTTTGCGTCGTCGAGAGATCCGATATATCCGATTCTGTCTCCTATCGGTTGGAAAATGCGACTACAACCTTCCAACATTTGGGTAGTGACAATGTGATTAATTTTTTCTAACACATATATTGAAAATATAAAAACCCATTTCAAGATTTATTGATTAGGAGATAATCGCCCTTCTGAAAAAAAATACAATCTCTCTTCAGAAATCCAATAAATCAAAGAAGTGCAATAAAAAGATTATTTACAACAGAAAATCTACTACTGATAAGATGTTAGTTACAGTTAAACTAACATCTTATCAGTAGAAATTTACTATGAGGAGGTTGTATATACTCTGAGGAAACGATACAAGAAATTATCGGCTTTAATTGCAAAATTCGGTTACATATATTGATAATTTCATCCCAATTTACAGTCACTTCGGATAGAAAATGCAATGAGGCCATCAAAATACCTAAAATGGAGTGCGATATTTATATGAGAGTTATTTCGAATCATAAACATATATAAAAAAATAAACGGTGATGTTTTGCGTCGTCGAGAGATCCGATATATCCGATTCTGTCTCCTATCGGTTGGAAAATGCGACTACAACCTCATTTTTTTCTCACACATATATTGAAAATATAAAAACCCATTTCAAGATTTATTGATTAGGAGATAATCGCCCTTCTGAAAAAATACAATCTCACTTCAGAAATCCAATAAATCAAAGAAGTGCTATAAAAAGATAATTTACAACAGAAAATCTACTACTGATAATATGTTAGTTACAGTTAAAATAAATCGCAATGACAATATAAAAGGCAAGCGAAAAAAGTAATCGTTAACATTAACACCTGGAAATATAACCGACTGAAGTGCCTATAAAATGGATGTAAGTCCTATAAATATTAATTTCAAAATAACAATTAAAAATACTTAAATGTCCTTTCAGTTTAACACCGCCTGTGAAAAAGCCAAAGCCTTTACGAAGAAACCCACCAATGATGAGTTTTTGGAATTCTATGGTCTCTACAAACAGGCCACCGTGGGTGATTGTAATATTGCCAAACCGGGTGTAACGGATGTCGTAGCAAAAGCTAAATACGAGGCATGGAACAGGCACAAGGGCATGTCCCAAGATGCAGCCAAACAGGCATATATTGCAACCTATCAAAAATATGCACCCAAATATGCTTAAGGTCAAAAGACACGTGTCCAATAAAAATTGAAAGTTGATAAAGAACTAGTGTACTGTTTTATGTTGGGCCACTAATAGGTATCTATTGGTAATATGGATCTGATAAAAAATCCAACATGACAACCATACATTAGTCATTATTAAATTGAGTACTGATAAGTGTCAACGTAACTTTTATTGTGGGAGGTGGTTGGTTATCTGCACTTCAAGAAGTGAAACACACAACAAAGTATAGAAAGTTTCAAAGTCCGTATTGAATTGTCATAAAATGGCATGAAAGTGAAAGATAAGCCTTTTAAGATAGTAAAATGACCATCATATCAGTACTATGCGATTTTCGGTATAAATTAAACAAGCGACATTAAGGTAAACACTCACTCACATTTCTGTCTTCAGTACAAGTGGTAAGGAAGAAATACTTTGAAATCCTTTAGCTAGGAAATTAATTCGTACATTTTGTTGTACTTTTTTCCTTTTTAACAGATCCCAAAAATACAAAAAAACAAACATGGATGTAAGTTGTAGAAAATAAAATTATTCTCAAATTGAAACTAAGTGCTAATTTATTTGTAATTCTTTAGTTCGAAACCGCCACCCAAAAAGCCAAATCCTTTACCAAGACTCCTCCAAATGATGTCTTCTTGGAATTCTACGGTCTCTTCAAGCAAGCCACCGCTGGCGATTGCAACGTCGACAAGCCCAGCGCTATTGATGTTAAGGGTTCAGCCAAATGGAATGCCTGGAACGCCAACAAGGGCATGAGCCAAGATGCCGCTAAGGCTGCCTATGTTGCTGCCTACGAAAAGTACGCTCCCCTCTATGCTTAAATTCGATATTTGTGATAATCGGCTAGGAACTTAGGACAATAAAGATTTAAATTATTAAAAAGGAAAAAATAACACTTGGTGTATTTCTTAATTTATTTAAAAAAAAAAAACAAAGAATATGCACTTCATCCAATCCATGTTTTGCATTACTTGTAAGCTAACAAATAATGAATTCTGTATTTGAGATTTGAACCATGGATTAAGATACCTTCTAAATATGGTTTTGAACATTTCAAATTTTAGGGAACAAAATCGTTGACTATGTCTTTTTTCTTATAGTGCGAGAATAAAGTGAAGTTATTGGGTGCCAGCTTCGGTCGATATCAAGAAAGTTTTACGCCCTCACTATTTAAACCCAGAATTTATCGGGAATATTGAAAATTGAACCGGAAATTCAAATAATAATACCGATAATAGTCCGGTTCAATATATTTAGCACAATTGTTTACTAGCTACCTAATTATAAGTATATAAGGTAATGAAACCGGTTTTATTACCTGAATATCCGGTTCAAAAATTCCGGTTCTTTTTTAAATAATTGGGACGAATCAGATAGTTCTACATAATATGGTATGTATACTGAATTTATTGAAATACATTCATATATCGTTTTAGCGACAAGAAACGGGTAAAATTGGGAATATAAAATTCAAACGTTAAAATATCGATTTCTCGTCTTTGATGACCCCACCTAAAATATTATGAGCAACATTTTGTAGAATATTGTGGGAATGAAAAATTGCATATTGGGATAATTGAATAATAAATTGAATAATTGAGTCTGGTTGAATAAATTAAGGACGCCAAAGGACACACATGGACGAAATGTTCTTCAAAAAAATTCCTCATTGGTTTTTACTGAAGAAATGTAATCGCAAACCAGTAAGGAGAGTAGTAAAGTTAGACGACTGGGACGACTATATGATACCCTTCACCACTCTGGGTATATTCTACATATGTATCCTTACAGACGTCGCCCTTTCAAAGGATAATTTATATGAAATTTAACGCACTCAAATATGTGATCTTTATCTATAAGTGAACCAACTAATATCAATCCATACATATCTCAGATTTAGAGTCGTTTGCGTACAATGGGACAAATTTATGTAAATTGTTTGCTATAAATCTGAACCGATTTTCATGAAACTTAACACACATAATTCAGTGCGTTCTGTCATACATTAAATCGAAAGAATATATATATGGGAAATATATCTAAATCTTAACCGATTTTCCCCAATTTCAATAGGGTTTGTCCTTGGGTCAAATAAATGAGCTGTGCCAAATTTCATCCAATTCGGATCATAAATGCTACCTGGGCGGACATGCATAAATCGATTCAGAAAGTGATTCTATACATATTCTCAGAAGGAATCATGGGCCTATCTCGTTTCCTTTTGGCTGTTACAAACATATGCACAAAGACATAATATACTGTACTACAGTGTGGTGAATGGTATAAAAATACATACAATAGCTACAAATCAAGATATGAAGCTATCTCTTCAGCAAAAAAAAAAAAAATAAATTAATAAAATTCACGCCATATCTCCGATTTTTTAAATAGGACTAATTTTTCTTTCCTGGGTTTTCATATAACCATCAAGGTCTTTCAACGCCAATTGGAATTTTCCAACTCCTACACCATATCCTCGATTTTGTCGCACAGTGTAACTATTCACTTGATAAATTCCTAACACGGACCTTCTCAACATCTCAACATCATTGTATATTAGAATTATATATTTGAGAATATCATATTCAACAAAAGTATTTAAAATATTAAAATTATTAAATATAAATAACATTTTAATTTTTTTCACAAAACTTACCTTGAAACTTCACCTTTACTTTTGCTCTTGGCCAAACCCTCTTTGGCTTTCGATATTAAACCCGACATATCGCCAACAATACGATTTTGTAATTTATCCTCATGCGTGGGACTGGTGGGTAAATTACTTAATTTTTGGGTTAAATCTTTGACAGTATGATCACGTTTCAGCTGTGGCAAACGTTTTTTGTCCTCGCTGTCGGACTCTAAAATGTTGGGTGGGAAAATGGAAAATTATTAATAATTTGTTATTAATTGTTAATGTGCGTTATTTTGTTAAATACATTATAATACTTAATTAAATAATAGTAATACAAAATAATATATTTAGAATTGAAATAGAAAAAATAGCAGTGTATACAGCGCTCGATGAATGTTTGAGAATGGATTTGTTTTTTGTTTTTCAATTGCAATTAATTTAGATTTACGACTTCATAACTTGTCTGTATATGAACAATTTAAATTTCGCCTAAAAGTATGCTACATTGCATAATTTTCTTTTAAACGCAAAGGCATGCCTGCTCTGCAGTTCAACAGGCTTTTGACCAACATAAAAGTAATAAGGTTCATTTGAATAGGATTTTGAGTCCGACATTAAAAAACTTTTGTGTTTGGATAGCCCTCCTGTCAGGATAGGTCTCCTGTCAATAAATATTAATATACACTTAAATAAAGTTTAAAAGATGATGACGGATATGAGTCACTATAAATACCAATGACCCGATAAATAATACAAGTATTCTGATAAATTACTCATTGGCAAATAATGCCATCTCATTAACAAAATATGTTGATCAATTATTTTCAGTGGTGGCCATAAAAACCTCAAATCCTCGTTGGGATTAAGCTTGATTGAAATTTCACTTCCTCTTAAATTGTCAGAAAATCACAAATCCATTCTCATATATTGTTATTTCTATGACAAGACAAGTGTCGGGTTTAATTATAAATTTGATGATTTGAAGAAAAACAAAAACGAACTTACCATTAATTTTCAAAAAATCAACAGCATCGGTTGCAGTGTTACTGTTATTATTATTGTTATTATTATTTGTATAGTTATTAGTGGTTGTTGTACTGGAGGATGTCTGATTGTAAAAGTTCATGGGACGCATATGTAAAAATCCCAATAAATCTGGTGGTGGAGGAGGTGGAGGTGGTGGTGGCGGCACCACCGATGTATTCGATATGGTATTGTAAGCAATCGATGTCGGTGGATAATCTCCCGGTGAGGTTTGTGGACTTGTAAAAGCCGTTGTAGAAGCCGAAGCACAGCCGCTAGTTGTGGAAGAGGTAGTGTAAGCGGAGGCATGAGGTGATTGCGGAACATCTTCAAATAGCTGTTTAGCAGCCGTTGTGGCTGTTACCGGGCCCGAAGCTATGGGTGTAGAGGTTTTAGGTGTAAAATCAAAACCAGCTGATGTAGGACTTGAACAATTTAGGGGTTTCTTTGGACTTAGAATCGCAGCCGACAAGCAATGACCTGTCGCTGGCGAACTCTTTTGCGGGGTAGTGGGAATATTTACTAATGTAAGTGGTGTTGTATTTGGTGTCGTGGGTGTTGTGGTGGTGACTGTGGGAGACAGGGGTGACATCACTTGATTGTTTGTGTGCAGATGTAATTTATTGGGACTTTCATTCTTTGGTGTCGAGCTGTTGTTCATTTGATTGTAATACGAATTCAGGCGATTTGTATTGTTCTCAAACTTCTTATAGTTCAATAGATTACTTTCCCCTCCATTGGGCTGATAGTTTTCAGCATTTGGCTCAGCATTGTTGCTATTGCTGCGATGAATATTTTTCATAATACCATTGATGGCATTGCGTTCCATGAATATGTTCTTCTTGTTGTTGGCATTGACATTGTGTTGTTGCAACTTGTTTGTGTTCGACTTGTCAAAGGAATTGTTGATAATGGAAATGGTGTTGGTGCCCAACAATTGCTTGGTGGGACTCAACAAATTGATGTGATGCTGGTGGTTGTTACTGCTGCCATTCAGGCTGTTGTTGGGTGGTGTCGTGTTTGTCGTCGCATTCAGGGCGGAGGTATTGATGAGCAGAGCATTGTTATGGGGGTTAGCAGTTGCATTAGCACTGTTATTATGATGATTATTATATGGAAGTTTTTGATTACTGCCGTTGATACTGCTGTTTACATGCTGATGCTGTTGATGATACGGGCTGCCGCCATTGTTTTCTGGGATAATTGTCAACGATTCGGGTGGACTATCGCCACTTTTAACCGTGGCCGGTATGGCTGTTACCAATTGGCCTTTGGAGTCCAAAATTCCATTCGATTTTGATTTGTTCGCCAATTTTTTTTCATTTTTTTCATTTATATTTGGTAAGGTTGTATGAAGATGATGATCGTTTGTTTTTGTAACAAAATGAAGTCAAAAACACAAATGGTTTGGTTTCGAATGATGGCACAGAACAGAAAATAGGGTTTTTGTTAATTGTTTCGACAAAGAAATTAGAAAACACATAAAATGGTTAATTGTAAGGTAAAGAAAATGTAACAAATAAACACTCTTTGGATATATTTGGAAACGAAAAAAAAGAATGTAGAGAAACATTAACGGGGACCTTGCGTACTTACCTAGCTCCTCACGTTTTTCCAGACCATTTAGATAACCATTTGCCGCCGCTGCGGCAGCAACAGCAGCTGCAGCAGCCTCTTGTTGTTCCTTCAAGAAACTTCTGTGTCGTTCTGCCCGTTCACGTCTTCTGCGCAGGCCAAGTGTTACACCAGCACCATCACGATCTGGAAAAATATGCAATAACAATAAAAATATAAATAAATAAATCTTACGAATAAATAATTTTGGACTAGTTAATTTTAATTTTGAATATGTTGCTTGGGAGAGATATTCTTGTTTTTAAAAAGAACTCCAAATACTGATAGTTTGTTGTTGATGAGTCATTTAGAATTAAATTAATCATGGAAATTTGTTTGCAAAGTAAATGGGATGTAACCTTTATATGGGCGCTATAACAAAATATCGACCTATGTATATCGAAAATTCAAATGCGACTAAATCCATATACGAAAAATGAGTCATTACGATGCAGGAAATCATAGAGTAAGCCCCGCCCATGTTTGATCTTTCCTTGCTGATATTGTTTATTATTTGATAAATCGCAGTACTTTTAAGTTCCATACTTACGTTGCTTATCGACAAACACCCCATTTGCATATTCCACCGAATTCGTTGAACTCGAACTGTCCTCATCCAAAATGGTTTGTGGTGGTGTCAAGCGGGAATTTGTTGGCAAAACTTTATTAATATTACCCGGACTGGTGCCGGTACTATGACGTCTCGACTTGCGGCGTTCTGCTGTATCTGTGGAATTACGAAAACGTTGAGTTTTACGCAATGTATTATCGGGCAGGCGCAAACCATCCGATTCACCATCTTCAAATCTAAGTCAAAGAAAATAAAAATAAATTTAATAAAATATATTGAAAACATTATTATATTTGCCACTCACTTCAATACTGCCTCATACAGTTGCAATTGATTGATTAAATCAATATCTGTCCCCGGTCTAGACAAATAATGTTGTATCACAGATTCCATGCCTTGCTGTTCCAATAAATCACTTTCATCATAAAAGCTATCCTGATCACTTAAACCACCCAGGGTTTTATTAATTAAGGAGGCAGCATAAATAACTAATTCAGCATCGGCATTATCGTAGTCTTTTAAAAGTCTGAAAAAGGATAAAAGCAATGGGAATTAAAAGAAGAGTTAACTAATTAAAGAAAATTGGAACAGAATCAAACACAATATGAGTAAAATGTTTTAGAATAATTTTTTAATGAAATGCAACGAAAACTAAGAGAAAGGTGCTTATAATAAACAAGACTATCAAAATATGTACAATTAGCTCGTTTCGCCTAAAAGTATACTTCGATATTTCGAAATGACATTAAAGTACTGTACCTTCTATATTTTGTACACAGTAAATATGATGATAGCGTGTATTTTGTAAAAGGTGTTGTATATTGAAATTCGACGCATACCGTCAACTCTGCATTGTTGAAACAATGAGTTTGAGTAAATATTTTTTTGGCCAGCAGAACAGGAAAAATTGTAAGATGGAATATTATATTTTCATCTGCTTCCATTTAAATTCTACGGTATTTTGGTAGCTGTCACTTTTGAAAATTGCATTAATTGATATTTGACAACTATAATGCAATTACAATTGAGTACCACATGGTGAATATCTTGCATTCACAATTCGACAACGGAAAAGCAGACATGGATGGAAAAATTCGAGCTGTTGGGACAAGTTTGTTAGAAAGCTCAGGTTTGTCAATTCATTGTCGTTCTTTGGAATCCAAATACGTTTTGCATAAAGACTTGGATTTAAGACTTATAAGATTCAGTTAACACGAGATCTAGGCAGATCCATTACACTGTGCGACAAAATCGAGGTCATGGTTTGGTCGACAATTAGCTTCAAAGTGTTTCTCCCACTACTACTACTTTAGAATATCCAAAGGGTCGATTGCTGTTATTTTCGATCTCATTCGAAAATTGACACAAGTCTTGAATAGTTCGGTTGGTAAACCATCGGCCCTGCTGCTTTATTATTCATGAAGCGATTAATTGCTATTCTGACCTCATCTTGGCTAGTTGGTATACCATATATACCGTAATCTCTTATTGGTTCTGGGGTATCTTCTTCACCGCCACTATTTGATACCAGAAGCTTTGCAAGATGATCATTCCAGATCGTCAACACGCTATCTGTACCTGTCACAAGGTTCCAATCTTCATATCTACAGGAGGATGCGTCTGCACCAAAGCCTTCGGTTTTGTCAAATTTCCGGACTTCGTTCTGACTCCGGTACATCTCGATTTGCTCACGCTCTTCTTTTATTGAAAATACGTGTCTCCTCCCTCCTCTTCTCCCGATAATTCTAGGCTTCTGCTATCTGTTGTGTTTGCAGCTTTTCGATGCACCTTTACTGCTACATTAAGACGAGTGCAAACCTTGGCTGCCACAAGGTAATGTTCCGAATCAGGAGAAATCCTATCTGTTGTGTTTGCAGCTTTTCGATGCACCTTTACTGCTACATTAAGACGAGTGCAAACCTTGGCTGCCACAAGGTAATGTTCCGAATCGATATTTGCTCCTCGTAACGATCAAACGTCTAAAACACTAGACGAATGCCGTCCGTCTATCACAACATGATCAATTTGATTTCTCGTTGCTTGATCAGGAGAAATTCAGTTGGCCTTGTGTATATCGAAATACTTGATGTTTGTCGGATGTTTCATCATGGAGGCTTAATTTTCCAACGGTGGCACCAAATATATTTTTCCTTCCAACAGAATTTGAATGCCATGACCAGGGCAGCGCTCATATGCTGTTTCTAGGCCCTCGTAAAATATGTCCTTAGTCTGTTCATCATTGTCTTCCGTCGAAGCATGGGCGCAAGTAAGACTGATGTAGAAGAACTTCGCTTTTCGATTATAATCAGTAGATGACCGAATTCATCTACTGGAGTGAATTTGGTGATTATTCTATTAACCATAAACCCGCAGCCAAATTCAAGTCTCGTTTCATGGTAGCTATAATACAGGGCGTAATTATCTGATTTACTTACTCCTGTCCCTTCCCATTGCATTTCCTGTATGTCATCAATATCGGCTTTGGACCTGTTGAGTTCATCCGCCAAAGCGAACACTGCGCCTGTTCTGTACAACATGCTCAAATTCCAAGTGCAAATTGGCAGATCGTGGTCCATTATACAATATTGGAAGTCGTTTGGTTTTCATTTTCGTCTAAAATGAAGTGTCTTATTTTTATTGAACTCATCTCAGATTTATATACAGCTCTTATATATTATACTAGCAAAGTGCCCGCAACTTTGTATTCGGAAAGGGAATACAAAAAGTGTTTGTTTTTGCAAAATAGTTCAGTAGGAGTTATTACCAAAAACTTCTTTCCACAATTGTACCAAATTTTGTGCTTTTCGTACCCATAAGTATGAATTTCCTCTCATGCACTCTCATAATAATCTTAAGTCCACATTTAAGGATTCCAGCTCTATCCGTTCACCAACATTCAAATTGCACAAAATGTTGTACCATTATTACGTAAGTACGAGTTTTAGTCATAAATTTCAGGATCCCAGCCCTATCCGTTCATATAAATCCAAATTGTACCGTATTTAGTACTTTTCGTACTTATGAGTTCGAATTGCCAACACTGTGTCAATCCTGTATTCTAACAATAACTTTGTTTTCAAATATAAGTTTTCCATCTCTATAATTTCACTCAAATCTAAATTGTACTAAACTTACAGCCTGTTTATGTATTTCGAAAGAAAGGTTTCTTTCGCTTTCAATGCGAATGAAAATCAATTTTGGTTCATATAAAAACTTTTTACAGACAAAAAAAGTCGAACGATAATCAACCCGCAAGAAAACGTAAACGTATATTTTTTCTTTACAAATTGGGTTTATGTATGACGAAAAAGCTGTCATCATGCGAACGAGAATGTCAAATTCACTCACTTGCTTTATAGCTTTCGAATGAATTGCAAAATCGCGAACTATGTACCAAAATTTGAAGCACTTTCACACAACACAATTTCTATACAAAATAAAAATTTTTGGAACATGTTTTATAGGTATCGCTTGGATTTTTCATTCATGTTTTTAGAAAATAAAATTTTACAAAATTCTTACAAATACTGACAGCCTGTTTATGTATTTCGAAAGAAAGGTTTCTTTCGTTTTCAATGCGAATGAAAATCAATTTTGGTTCATATAAAAACTTTTTACAGGCAAAAGAAGTCGAACGATAAACAACTCGAAAGAAAACGTAAACGTATATTTTTTCTTTACAAATTGGGTTTATGTATGACGAAAAAGCTGTCATCATGCGAACGAGAATGTCATATTCACTCACTTGCTTTATAGCTTTCGAATGAATTACAAAATCGCGAATTATGTACCAAAATTTGAAGCTTTTTCACACAACACAATCTCTATACAAAATAAAAAATGTTGGAACATGTTTTATAGGTATCGCTTGGATTTTTCATTCATGTTTTTAGAAAATAAAATTGTACAAATACTGAAAATTTTCATTTGACAATTTTTTTTTGTTCAAATATGTGATTGTATTTGTGTAGTTTGTTCTCACTTCCCATTTGACTCTCATTTATTGAACATTGTTGTAAAACATTACATTTAATTTAGTAGTTTTTCGAATGGTATACGTAACGGCAAACGAACGATAGCTTTCGAAATACATGAACGCTTTTTTAAACGAAAGTGAGTGAGTTACTTTCTTTCGCATTGATTTTCGTTCGAAATAGAAAAACAGGCTGTGAAAATTTCCATTTAACATTTTTTTATATTCAAATGCTTGATTGTATTTGTGTAGTTCGTTCTCATTTCCCATTTGAATCTCATTTATTGAACATTGTTGTAAAATTTTACATTTAATTTAGTAGTTTTTCGAATGGTATACGTAACGCCAAACGAACGGTAGCTTTCGAAATACATGAACGCTTTTTTAAACGAAAGTGAGTGAGTTACTTTCTTTCGCATTGATTTTCGTTCGAAATAGAAAAACAGGCTGTTAGTACCATTTAGTACACATACGCATGTTCAAAACTACCTACTTGTCTGATCCTACATTTCAACCTTAATTTAAATTCCAATTTTTACGATTCACGCACACAGAAAACGAATTGTACAATATTTAGTACCATTTAGTGCTTCTCGTATTCATAAGTACGAAATTCCAAACATTTTCATTCTAAATTTAAGTTTTCCGTCTCTATCCGTTCACTCAAATCTAAATTGTACAAAATTTAGGACCAAATAATGACGAAATTTCAAAACAACCGACATATCTTAATCATGTACTCCAACTGCAATTTTAATTCAAAATTTCAGGATTTCAGTCCTATCCGGTCACTCAAAAACAATTTGTAAACTATTTGGTACAATTTAGTACTTTTTGTTTCTAGTACACATATAAGTATTATACTTCCATATGTTAATTCTATACTCCAACAGCAACCGTTATTCGAAATTTTAGGTTTCCAGCTCTCTCCATTCACCCAAATTGTAGCAAATCTTGTGCCGTTTAGTACTTTTTGTACACATATATACGAGTTTCCAATGATGTCTCTATAGTTTAATCGTCAACGTTAATCTGAATTCCAAATTTTATGTTTTCAGCTCTATCCGTTCAAGCAAAATCCAAATTGTACTAAGTTTTGTACCATTTAGTACTTTTCGTACCAATAAGTACGAATTTCCAAAACTACCTCAATCCTACACTGCAACAGTCATTTAATTCCCAATTTCAAGACTCCAGCTCTATTTGTGACCCGAAATCCAACTTGCACTAAATTTAGTACCAATAAGTACTTTTCGTACACATAAGCACAATTTTTTAAATCTACCTCATATCTGTAGTCCTAATTCCGATTTTCAAGATTTCATTTCTATACACTCAACTAAATGCAAATAGTACTAAATTTAGTACCATTTTGTACTTTTTATACACAGAAGTACACATTTCATAAACCATTTCCATACATCAACACCACTTCCCAACGTGTATCCCATATAAAATGTCAATATTTTAGCTATATATGTTCAATATATATATATACAATTAGAACTAAATTTAGTAAAGTTTAGTACTTTTCATACACTTATAGATCGAATTTCCAAAACCGAATCTGTCAGGCACTCACTCACTTAACAATAAGCTCTTTTATATATATAGATCAGTGTTGGGCAAAATTAAATTGAGAGCAAGTGTGTGCGAGTGTAACTGAGAATTCACCATTACAAACGACTAACGTAAAGAGAAAGAGAGAGAAAATATTTATATATATATATATATATATATATAGATATTTTGGAATGATTTTTTGCAAATTCTGTCCGATTGCGTCGAAGCTTTGCATATCGTAAAATGTCAGATCACACCAGCCATCAGTAAGAAATATATATAGTAGTCCTCGTATTATGTATTAAGTGTCCGATATTATCGATCTTTGAATATTATCGGAATTTGGACGAGCGGACATAGCAAAATAAACTTTAAATTGTCTGCAACGGATTATTAAGTTACTTGGATGGGACTTAATTTGATAGTATTTTAAGGCTAAGTGTGCAACAACGAAAATTTTCAAATAAAATGCAAAAACAATGGTTAGCCCTTTTAAAGAAACATTAACAAAAAAAACGTGACCCCTTCAAAAACCCCTCAATTTGGCGTAATTAATATTTATACCCATTATTTTCTATATTATTGCATATGAAGTGAAATCAATTTGTTATAAACGACAATTTTCAATATTTTCTGCCCTTGCATGTGTGTGTGCGTCATTATGTGGATTTCAATTTCTGCATTTAACGACCACGCACTGACATAATGAACCCCAAATTAATGATAATTAAATATTTTTGGTGGCATTTTTAAAACTTAAATGTTGTTGTTGTTGTTCTTCGTTAGCATTAAATTAAAAGTTTACGTCTAACGTATTTTATACACACCTCATAATGTTCGACCATGGCAGTGTGCCTTGCTGCTTGTCCACACTGTGTATGGCACTGACCAATACATGGCAATTGGATTCGGCATATTCGACGAAGACCAATAACAATTTCAGTGCAGTCTTAACCACGGAACGATAATTGGATGCGATTAATGAGTATAGCCACTGCATTGTGGGCTCGTGTTTCATAACGCCATTCATGCCGTCAACGTACAGCATAACCTGCGGATAAGAAAACAAGATGAAGAAAAAAAAATGACGCCAACAACAATAACAATTAAAACAATTATTAAAACAGCATTTACAAAAAACAATGATTCATATCACAAGTTAGTACGACTATTTAGTTGATCATAATTTTTGTTAAGAGGTTTTGGTCTGGGCCTGGTCCATGAGCAGGGCTTTTGATGGCCTGCCTTCAGATTACACGAAGTAGAGGCGTAGAACACTTAACATTTAACATCTAATTAATTATAGTGATGAACTCGTCCCCATGGCACCAAAGAGCAAAAACAACAACAACAGCGGCAAGACGTAGCGAAGCGACACAATGTCTCGTTTTGATTAAATCTATCAATTGTTTCATTGTTGTTTTTGCTTTGTTTCTAGTTTCGTTTGTTGTTGCTGTTGGTTTATTTTAACTAGATTTAGTTGGACACGCAACACTTTTTTCCAAATCCCATCATCGCCACATCACGCAGAGGTACACTTGTCTGGAGACTTTTACATTGTTGCTTCGGTTGATGCCACAACAACGTCCATCTGTTGTTTTTGGCTCTTGGTGTGCGCATGTGTGTGAGTGAGTTCCAAGCACAATAACAAAAAGGGAGAAGAGATCAATAGCTGAACTGATCGTTTAACATACCTGACCCAATGCACGCAATATATAATTTTGATAGTTTTGATCAGCACCATTACCGACACGCACCAAACAGTTGAGTCCACCTAATGCCACAAAGGCATGTACAAGATCCTTATCCTCTTGAAAAACTTGTTTCAAGGAAAATAAGGCACGTCGCAGATCACTTCCTTCGGCAGATAAAAGTTTCTCTGGAAATAGACAAAGACATAGAAAATTTAATGAAAACAGAACATGAAGAAAATCAGGAGATTAGAAGAACATTTTCACGAGCCAATGGACTGATATTTCATTTAAAGCCTATTTTCATGTTTTTTTTTTTTATTTCAGATTTTATCTTTAGTTATTAGAAATATTGATAAAAAAACGAATTCTAATATCATTTTACTATTTGGTGAAAATAATTATTGCAAGAAATAAATTCTTAGAAGCTGAATAAAAAGTTAATCAAAAATGGAAAACTCTCCGGCCTGTATAGTAAACCGCATTAAACCTGATTTTTTGCGTCGATGTATGACAACCATTTACTACTCAACGTAATTAAATTTGAAACGGCTAATTAATTTAATGGGGATAGGTTCAAATCTATATTATATTATATTAAAATTTTGATTTTAGCCCACTTGTGATCAGGGTTATATGTTGCTTAACAAAATTCTGTATGAAATGATAAAATTTTACGAGAGAGTACCTGTAGTTAATACATAATTTTCCAATTAATGTCAGTATTTCATTTAAATAATGTAAAAATTTGCATTGATGAAGAACATTGATTACATTAATGAAAGTTTTATTTCATTAATGTTTAAATTTCAGTGCAATCATGAAAATTGTTAATTTCATTAATGCAAGTTTTTTATTTCATTAATGAATATTTTTCACCACATTAATGTATGTTTTTCATAACATCAATGAAAAAGTCGCATTGCATTCATTAACGTTTTTCAATGCATTAATGAAGAATATGTATTCCATTTATGTAAGTTTGTCATTTTATTAATGTAGACATTTCATTGCATTAATTAATGTTTTTCATAGCATTGATGAAGAAGTTTCATTGCATTAATGAATGAGTTTCACTGCATCAATGAAGACGTTTCATTCAAGGAACTAAATGAAAAATTTTCATTAATTTAATGACAAATTCAAAATGCTTGACAAATTTAATTGATAGAACGTAATGCATTTTATTAATGAAGAGTTTTTATTGTATTAATGAATGTTTTTCATAACATCAACGTAAATGTTTCATTGCATTCATGACCGTTATTCATTGCATCCATGAACGTTTTTCACTCCATTAATGAAGAAGATGAATTTCATAAATATAAGTTTTTCATTTTATTAATGTAGAAGTTTCATTGCGTTAATTAATTTGTTTCACTGCATCAATGAAGAAGTTTCAATGTTTTAATGAATCATTTCGTTAATTTTACATGAATGAAAGTTAATGAAACTTTTTTTATTAAATCAATCACAAATTCAAAATCCATGACAAATTTCATTGATGGAATCATTTCGTCAATTTCATATTAATGAAACTTTTTTCATTAATTCAATGACAAAATCCATGACAAATTTCAATATAAACGTCTAACCCAATTTTAGGTATTTTGAAAGTCCCAGCCGCTTCTTTTAAACTATGTGAATGTAATTTGCTATGTATTTCGTCCACCATAATGTGGAGAATATATTTAATTTGTCATTCCGTTCGCAACACATTGAAATAATCGTAGGAGATCCCATAAATTATGTAAATTCTTGATCAATATAGAATTCTATGTCGATTTAGCCATGTCCGTCTGTCTGTTGAAATCATGATAGTGATCGCAATATTTAAGATAGAGCTCTGAAATTTTGCACAAACATTGCTAGGACTTCTAGAATGCTTGTTATTGCAAATGGGATATATTGGTTGGAATAGCTCCCAATCAAGGGTACCCCCGATATTCAGTATTTATGGGATTTTTGACATGTTTCGTTGTTATTTAGTATTTTGAGTACTTATTATTGTATATCGAATGTCCCTACCAACAGTTATCAATATTTGCCGTAGCACCGGAGAACCTCCATATAATGGTACTCCGCTATTATTTGGTCTTTTTCGGATTTTGGGCTCGTTTTTCAACCGAAGTGGCTGTAATTTTTTTATGTTGGGTTCTAATTGGATAGTAAATCTCCCTATCGACACTATATACACAAAATATATACCGCCAACGTTGGTGCAACGCAATGGAAAAAATCTCCAATCCTGTCAGAATGCAACAGGGTATCTCCTCATGACTCCAATATACCACATACATGAGAATACGAAAATCCTTCCTGTGCGTCAACACACCAAGATGTCGATGCAATATCTTTTTGGATGTTATAGAAGCAGCCTTTTAAACCTCCTCTTAGGAATGTAATGAAGGATCTTCAACATGTGGAGAGAGAGAGGTGCTGCGGTACAAAAGGGATCCTCTAGATCTACCGGACTAACAAGCAGGATTGAACTGTATTCACACGGATGCACAAAGGAGATCTGGATGGTGTAGCCGCGTCAATTCATATTGGGCACGAATTGATGACGTGGTAGACAATATCTGCCCGATATGTGGTAATGGTCCACATGACACGCTACACCCACTCAACTGCTCAGAGAGAGAGAGATGTGCGAGGTACAAAAGCGATATCTGGAGAGAGATCTGGATGGTGTAGCCGCCTCAATTCATATTGGGCACGAAAATCTGCCCGATATGTGGTAACGGTCCACATGACACACTACACCCATTTAACTGCCCAACCAAACCCAATCATCTAACTCCATCTTCACAGTGGATACAACCGGTAGAGGTCGCATCCTTTTTACTTCTACAATTTTGGTATTTGGCTGTTATTTCATATGTGGGATTCTCATTGGATGTCAAATCTAAAAAATACACCCCTTTGGTTTCATGTTTGGGCAACATAAGTTCGCTTACAAGACCATATATTTATCGTGAAATTTAGCATAAAGAATCGAGTAGTTCTTGACCTGTATTTGAGGTCTTGAATCGACGATGGGGGCAAATTTCTAATATAGGGTGTCCCGCTCCATTCTGAATGCCATCACTGATTTTCCAACCTAAGAGGAGGGGAGAATCAGTTAAGATTTTGATATAGCTCCAATATATATTGTCTTTTAGTTCCACCATAGTGCACCAAAGACACAATGGTTGTCCGATTGAGTTGAAATTTTGCATATTTTATTGAATTGGGCCTAGAATGACGAGTGTTATGTTGTGTTGAAGTCGGTTTCATTTTAATATACCTCACCTACCTATAACAAGATTTGATAAAATCGTTTCAGATGTACCTATACTTTTGTCCGATTCGTAATAGAACTTGTGTACCTTCGTGACTGTACTGAAGTAGAAAAATTTATATCCAATATAATCTTGAGACCCCTACAATAACTTCCAGAAAAATCCATTAATATCTGCACATGGGCTCATATGAAGATTTTTGTTAGAGAACATACATTGCATAACCATATTTCTTTTATTGGACTATAAATTTATGATCAATGATTTTGATACTAAACTAAATTTCATAAAAAAATAATATATTTCGATAAACATTAACCTTGATGTAGCTTTGAATGCATGTTTTCAGTTCATTTCGAAAAATATGGCATGAAAACAATTTATTGACTCTCCCTCCTCTTTGGCACATCAAAGACATAATTATCGACCTCATCATCATCATCGACGGCGTTGCAGTCGTCATTAGCATTTAACGGTGTTCAAGACTTTGATGATTTATTTTTGTTGTTGTTATTATTTTTTGCGAATACAACCGATTTAATGCAAGTCAAATCAATTCATTTGTTTAAATAATATTTTTTGTAGATAATTTTTATTATTTTGTATATTTATTTGTCTGGCTCTCTCCGTTTTTATTATGATATCACCGCGTTGCAAATGCTAATTCCATGTTATTTCAATAAACACCAAATGTTTATAGATATTTTGATAGTGATTAATAATTTATTTTATTTTTTGTTTTTGTTTTTTGATTTTCTAGAAGGCAATTAAAAAAATCAGAGGTCTTTAACGGCGAACGCGTAACTAAAAATGATTTCATTTGTAACGGTCATTGAATGCAGTCAATGGCGTCAAACAATTATTAGTCATTGAACGATAGGTGAAAATACATAGTTTTTAACCTTGAAGAATGCCGAAATGAGATGCAATTATATTGGAGGAAATCAACACTGTGCTCGGTAGGGGTGGAGACAATAAAATTTGCTTGCGAATATCGATTTGAAAATACATTTCATTGAAAAATATAAAATTTTCAAATATGGTATTGAAAGGTGTATGGTATTGTTTTCAAATTTCCAAAATTATGATTCTTTGGAAACGATTCTTTTTGTAATACGATGTCTGATCAAAAATAACACAACTATGTTGTCAGGGTATTATAGCTTTGTACAGTCCCAAAAGTTTGTAACGCCGCGAAATATTGGTCCTAGACCCACCTTTAAGTATACCGATTGTCATATCTCGACTAGCTGAGTCGATCTAGACATGTGTGTCCGTCCGTCCGTCTGTCCATTATAATTTGTAAACACGATACAGGCAACAGTTATGGACCAATCTTCACGAAATTTTACATGTAGGGTGGGTTATGACCAATGAAGACCCCTATTGTTTTTGGAAAAGATCGGTTAATATTTAGGGGATGAAATGGACCAAAAACTTTATTTTTGTATGATTTTCTGGTCGCTCCAGACGCCGCAATTATGGCCCATTTAGCGGGTCAAATGGACTTTAACTTTTGTGTGAAAAATTACAAAATTTGTATTCTATAGCGTATATATTTACCACTGAAGGACATATACCCGAGAAGTTGATAGTATGTCCGAGAGGAGTGGTTGACCTTTAAATTGATACCAATTATGTTGTCGTAGGTACTCGGATGCGGGAGTTACACTTAAATATTTACAAGTGCTTACGTATTCATATATTATTTAGTAACCTATTACCACACTGGAGGGCGGAAATATAGCGCTGACCGCTTTGAAATGTTCCATGAGGTTCCAGTTATGGTCAAGGACAACGCCTAAAATGTTAGGTGATGATCAGATAATAACTTCTCGGATGTAGTGGACCGAAAATTTAATTATTTGTACTTTTCGAGTCGAAAGCCGAACATCACAACACAAACCAAGGTGAAGGTAATCTGGACAAGTAATTAGAGGGGTGTACTGATTATAAGTAACATTTTCTGGCCTCTAGCCAGTCAAAAGTGTGCAAAGATCGCGAAATATTGCTCAATCTCAGAATATAGAACTACAAAATGTTAGATTTTCATGGAAGTTGTGTAGGGTATTGTATGGTCGGCCCCGTCCGACTATACTGCTCCGCTCACTGGTTTTTAAATTTCGTTAGTTAAGTAATTCGATTTCCGATTTGAGCCTCTAAAAACATTGTATTATAAATTTGATATTGATATTTTGAAAACTACAGTTGATATCGCGCATTTTAAATTCTTCGAGTGCAACAAATTTCAAATACAATTCACTAAATCGATACAATTTTCAAATATGAGATCGAAATGTAGGGTAAGTGCACCAATAGTCGGCACTTTAAGAATTTTCACTTTTTAAACGTTTCACCATTCCAAGTGCATATTTTCCACGATATTATATTTAGGTTCATCTGTTTCGAAATTTTGTTTACTCCCCGATGGAATACAAATTTGTTTAATTAATTTGTATTAAAGTAGATTAAATTAATAATTATGTAAAATAGTGTATTTGTGCCAATAGGCGGCACTTTTTCCAAATTGTCGGTATGTTATGTTCCAATAATCGGCAAAAATTATATATTTAATCGATTTTTCTGCTATTTGCAATAATAAATTATTGCAATGGAGCGTTTCCATCAGTGTCGTATTAAAATACTTACATAAAATAATTTTATTTATTAAAATATTACAATTATTAAACATGGTGCCGACTTCGGAAACCTTTTATGCAATTGTCGGCATGGCTAAATAAGGCATTTCAGAGATTAAAAGAATTAAAGATTAAAACCAAGTCTTCCATTATGTAAAACAACTCAAAACTTATTTTTTATAAGTTAATCGTTATTTAGAGAATTTATTTAATCTTTTTTTTTTTTTTTGCAATTTTGAGCCAAAATTATCGAAAAGGTGTCGACTTTAGAAAAAACATAAAAATGTTTCCTGAGGGTGACATCGATAAAAATAAAATAATTACCAATATTTTTTAATGATTTTAAATTCTAAAGTATTCTCCTCTATGTTCTTTACAATTACGAAGAAGATCCTTGTTAAAAATATTAAATTTGTATATAGTTACAAGTCTTTTTAAATCGACGTGCCAACTAATTTTTTCTTAGAAACACGAATTATCGCTAGTGTTGATAAACCTCATTGACAAAATGCCAAATTTTGGCTGAAAAAATGTACTTAGCTCGATGAAATTTTACACAGAGATAGGTTGCAGTATTATTGACGATTATTCAAGGTATTTTTCATATCTGGATATAGGATTTTTTAGTTATTTGAAGTTATATAAAACCGATGCTGACTATTGGTACATGTCGGAATTAGGTGCGTTTACCCTATAAAGTCAAAAACAAGTGAAAAAGCGTTAAGTTCGGCCGGGCCGAACTTTGGATACCCTCCACCATAGATATACTGACAGGTACTTGAAATGAAAATATAGGGAACATACCAAAAAATGGACCTATATCGACATTTCTACAATCCGATTATGTAAACAATAATTTTTAATAGAAAATTATACCCTCTGCCTTATGGCTAATTAGTGTGTATACACTTTCACACGGTGAAAATGTGCCTCATCGAAATATTGGTTCTAGATCCCATGTTTCTTGGGACCAAATCCGTTTCAGGAAAAATTTGATTTCATCCCATCTTATTATGTCTTCCAAACTTAGTTCAAGTCCGAATTTGGGGAATATCAGTCCATGCCTTCTGGTACCTTCCACACTGGGGCTACGGCTAAGCCTAAATGCGGGTTATAGTTCATTATCGAACCGTACGTTCTAGTTTTTTATCTCGAAATCCTTCGTAGGTGAAATGATTACAACAGAGTGTTAGAATCAAACTTAAAACGCGGAAAAATCAGATAATTATATTAATATAAAAAATGGGGTTATATGGGGACTACGCCTAAAAGGGGTTGGCTATTAATAATTTTTCAGTGATTTCGGTTGAAAAACGCGCTCAAGAACCTCCAAATGCCGAAATTTGGGGTACCTTTATATGGGGGCTACCAGAAAAAATGAACTTATATTTATAGTTTTTAGTGGAGATATTTGGTACCCAATAAGAACCCAATGTACCAAATTTCAGCGAATTCGGCTGAAAAACGCGCTCAAGAACCCCAAAATACCGAAAATTGGGTGTACCCTTATATGGGGGGCTACCAGAAAAAATGGACCTATATTCATAATTTTTTGTGGAGTGATTTGGAACATATTTAGAACTCAGAGTACTAAATTACAGCCAATTCGGTGGAAAATACGACCAAAACCCCCAAAATACTGAACATTAGGAGGTACCGTTATATGGGGGCTACTAGAAAAAGTGGGCCTATATTTATAATTTTTTGTGGCGACATTTAGTACCCAATAAGAACCCAATGTACCCAATTTCAGCGAATTCGGTTGAAAAACGCGCTCAAGAACCCCAAAATACCGAAAATTTGGGGGTACCTGCCTGCAGACAAAAGACAACCCTATGCAAATTTTCAGCACCCTATCTAAATTCCTTCGGAAGATAGCGTGATTACAACAGACGGACAGGCGGACGGACATGGCTAGATCGTCTTAGAATTTTACCCTGATGAAGAATATATATATATATATATATATATATATACTTTATAGGATCGGAAATGAATATTTCGGTGAGTTACAAACGGAATGACAAAATTAATATACCCTCCAACTATGGTGGAGGGTATAATAACCATTAATTTCAAATATTGTAAGTTAGGTAATTCGATTTCCAGTTTGATCCGCTAAAAACATTATAATAAAAAATTGATTTTGATATTTTGAAAACTTTAGTTGATATCGCGCATTTAAAATCCTTTAAGTGCAACAATTCCGCAATAGACCTCTTTTCCACATATTCTAATAACGTAAATATCTATAAAGGGTACAATTATTTCATCAATATTTTCCCATACTTCCAACAACAACAAAATAGCAATATATAATTGGATTTATTATCATTAATGTCATTATCATTATTCTCGTTGTTATTGTGTTTATTTTTATTGTTTATCGTAATTACTTACCAATAATCGCATGTACTCTAACACTCAACTGGGTGCGTACGACCAATGAATTTTTGCGACTAAAAAGAGAACAGAAAAAAGAAAGAAAATAACAAAAAAATTAAAATTACACAATAAAAGAATAGACAATAAAATCGCATTAAAATAGACAAAAAAGAAAAAGTAAACAAAAAAACAGCAGAGAAAAAAGAAAAAAAAACATTTCAATGTTAAAGATTTCAGAATGTAACTGAATAAAAAACGGCGGGTTCAATAATACCAATAACAACAAAATACGGTTGAATGGATCGATGAATAAATGGATGAAATGAACAAACGAACGAACGGCAAAGAGATGGTGGCAACAAAGTCATCACCATCATTATTTTTTACGTGTATTTTTATAATTCTATAGGTTCGATGGTTTTGATTTAATGTCTATTGATTCTGCTACACCTCAAATAACTACAGATTTGCAATGTTTGCCATTGTTATTAGTATTTTTCGCCCGCTTTGAGTTCAATGAACCATAATTTAAGAACAAATTGAAGATTTGCCATTTCATGATTACGACTGCCAGACATCAGTCCATGATTAAATGTTACCAATCACCTATCCACCTATCAATTGTTCGGAACAATAAGAAGCTTAAATGTTTTAATTTTGAACTTCAATGGTTAGGGTTAGCTTCTTTTGTATTTGAAACGCATTGAATTTATTTTCAGAAAAATACAAAGAAATTTCTATTGATATTGTTAATATAGATCAAGTTAATTAGTGGCAATATTAAAAAATATATAATTAGTTTTCCAAAGAAAAAAAAATTTACCATAGAAAATATATTCATTTAAATGGATTCTAGTGTTTTAAAAATAGTTAATAGCGGCCAATTTACTGTAATGTTAACACCCGCCAATGGGTTAACATAAAAATTCAGTTATATAATTATACCCTTCACAACTACAGTGGTGGTCACAGAATTAAAACATTTACTGTGGTAAAAATTTTTTGATCAGCCCTCGATTCGTTTGAAGTATTTTTGAAAATTTTTTAATTCAGAACACTTCGATATACTGCACTCAAGAGATTTAGTGTGAAAATGGAAAATTATTTCATGCAATTTTTCCATAAATAACGGTTTTTATGAAAATGCATCGACTTTGAAGTGGCCATATAATTAAAACATTGTGTGATTTTTTACTTGACTGCATTTTTTGAAAATATTTTTTAAAAAAGCTCTTTAATTTAGTTAAATTATGTAAACTAAGCACCGATAAAATCATTTACTGATAAAATTTTTTGAAAAAATCTGTAAAATCTATCAAAAATGCCAAAAATGTGTTCAGTACACCTTACATTCAGAAGACCCCTTTGTTTTTGGTAAAATAACCCTTATTATAGAAAATAAAGTTCCGAATGCACCAGAAATTGCTAGAATTAGTAGAAAACAATAAATAATTCTCAAAATAAATAAATATTTGAAATAGAAACTCAAAAAATTGGAATTAACCTAAAAGAACGATTCAATTTCGATAGCCTTTATTGAAGAAGGCCGGAATATTTTTGCAGTATTTGAGGAAATATCGATTGATATTGGCATTTATTATATCAAATCGATTGTTCGAGTAGTACAGAATATATTTTATCAAAAAATATACCAGTCACAACAGAAAGAACAGAGATCAACGCCTATGTCGACGAGAAAACGTTTCTGGTACACAGCAGCATGTTTGATGGTTCACTCTTGACCCTTAAAATCTATTGAACATGACAATATTTTTCCAAAATAATATTTTTTGAATAGAATAACGCCCATTTCATCTATTTTAGCCTAAAAGAAAGAAAAATTTTACAATTTGACAAATATATAAAGTCTTGAGTTGAGCATCGAAAATGCTGCTGTGTGGCAGAAACTTTTACTCGTCAACATAGGCGTTAATCTCTGTTCTTTCTGTTGTGACTGGTATATTTTTTGATAAAATATATTCTGTACTACTCGAACAATCGATTTGATATAATAAATGCCAATATCAATCGATATTTCCTCGCATACTGCAAAAATATTCCGGCCTTCTTCAATAAAGGCTATCGAAATTGAATCGTTCTTTTAGGTTAATTCCAATTTTTTGAGTTTCTATTTCAAATATTTATTTATTTTGAGAATTATTTATTGTTTTCTACTAATTCTAGCAATTTCTGGTGCATTCGGAACTTTATTTTCTATAATAAGGGTTATTTTCTGAATGTAAGGTGTACTGAACACATTTTTGGCATTTTTGATAGATTTTACAGATTTTTTCAAAAAATTTTATCAGTAAATGATTTTATTGGTGCTTAGTTTACATAATTTAACTAAATTAAAGAGCTTTTTTAAAAAATTTTCAAAAAATGCAGTCAAGTAAAAAATCACACAATGTTTTAATTATATGGCCACTTCAAAGTCGATTCATTTTCATAAAAACCGTTATTTATGGAAAAATTGCATGAAATAATTTTCCATTTTCACACTAAATCTCTTGAGTGAAGTATATCGAAGTGTTCTGAATTAAAAAATTTTCAAAAATACTTCAAACTAATCGAGGGCTGATCAAAAAATTTTTACCACAGTAAATGTTTTAATTCTGTGACCACCACTGTATGTTATCAGGGTATTATAGCTGTGTGCAGCCCCAAGAGTTTGTAACGCCGCGAAATATTGGTCCTAGACCCACATTTTTGTATACCGATCATATCTCGACTAGCTGAGTCGATCTAGACATGTGTATCTGTCCGTCCGTCTGTCCATTATACTTTGTAAACACGATACAGGCCACAGTTATGGACCAATCTTCACCAAATTTTTCATGTAGGATGGGTTCTGGCCAATGAAGACCCCTATTGTTTTTGGTAAATTTTACATGGAGAAGGGGATCGGGCCAAAGCATAAGCTTGCCAATTTTTTATAAAGATCGGTTAAATGGACCCTGACTTTTATGTGAAAAATTCCAAATTTGTATTCTATGGTGTATGTATTTACACCTGAAGGACATAGACCCGAGAAGTTGACAGATCGACCTTTAAATTGATACCAATTATATTGTCGTATGTAGTCGGTTGTGGGAGTTAAACTTAAATATTTATATGTGGCCACGTCCGAATATACTGCTCCGCTCACTGGTTATATATAAAATTTAAGTTTCACGAAAACCCACAGATTTTGTAGACTTCTTCCAAATGCAGTAAATCATACTATTCGGGAGTCCTGAAGACCAGGATAGAAAAAGTTAATTGAGAATGGGCAGGAATCTGAGAATAGAAAGATTACATATCTGCCTCTGGTATAAACCAGCATTATTGACTTCGGTCAAAAATTAGCAAAATGGCGGACCTAGGAAAAATGTTTTTTTTTTTTTTTTTGGGAAATCGCCTATTTTCGGACAAAACCCAAGCTGGAAAATATAGAAGATCTTGGCCGTTTACATTTTCCTAGTTCATACGATAGCTATGTAGCTTCAGAATAATATGGTAAAATTTGTAACCGATTGGTTTATTAGTTTGTGAGTTATCGTGCCCGTCATTCATCTTTTTCTCTTGAAATTAAAAAAGGCGTATCGTGGCCCCTCTTTCATCTTAATTGTGACATTGACATCACCGCGGTGTCACCCGATTTGTGTCGCGAGTTCACCACACACGCAAAACCCACGCTACTGCGAAAAAAGAAAACCAAACTCCAATAATGTCGACGACCGCCGCAAACGTATAAAGGACCACGATCTGAGAATCTGCATTTGGAATGTGTGCAGTCGCAGTATTCGCTTTGGCGGACTCTAGAAGTACAAAGCTGATATTATTGCCTTACAGGAAATGCGATGGAAGTAAGTAAATCAGATGATTACGCACTGTATTATAGCTGGAACGAGACATGAATTTGGCTGCTGATTTATGGTTAACAGGAGAATAAAAGACCTGCTCTCTAGATTCACCCTAGTATATGAGTCGGTTGCTACAATCCGTATAAAAAAGAAATTCTATTATAGTTAATAGCACCAGATTCAGGCACCTCGATATAAGCAAGGCCACCTGGATTTCTCCTGATCAATCAATGAGAAATCAAACTGATCATGTTGTGATAGACGGAAGGCATTTATCCATCGATCAAGGCATATAAAAGCGACTGACTATTTCAGATCATGGTCTTTCAAATTGGAAGAGTTGCGCACAGGACCGGTGCGCCTGGAAATCTTTTTAAAGCTCAACTAATGGAACAAAAGTTCTGTCAAAAGGTCCACTTTTTGAATAGATTCTATATAAGGGTGCTACATAATTTCCTAAATTTAAAGGCTATATAAACGTTTTCCCACCACTGTGGTTTTAATTTAATACTACACGTTCTTCTGAAGGTATAAGCCGCATTTCATCATTGAAGTGGCATTCCGGGTTTGAAGGAAAATTTTTCATACAAGATGATCCTTTAAGGTTGTAAATGAAATATATTTTGCCAAATTCAAAATTCCTATTGGGGTTGATTGGGGATTTTTTGAAAATTATTTTTGTGAAGTATTTGGCATATATATATATATATATATATAACTGGTAGAATTGAAAATATACCAATAAAATATTGATTTCTCGACTTTGAGGACCCCACCTAAAATCTTTTGTATAAAGTATAATAGGGACGCTAACAAAATAATGATTACGCCCTATGTCCGAACTTTGACCTATGGTGAATTTTTCCTTCTGGTGTTTTCATATACTTACTAATGTCTTTCATCCCCAATAGGAATTCTTCACCCCCTCAGACCATGGCCTCAATTTTATCGCTCAATGTAATATATCGGGTTCATGTTCATTATGACCTAATGCGTTCAATGCACAGCATATAGTAGTCAGTAAAATAAGTTACGCTATTTTTTTTAACAACAGAGTCACTCCATCAATTTATTTGTTTCTATAATCGATTAATTCACAAATAATTGTGATTCTTAAATGACAGATGTAAAATGTCCCCACAAATTTTTCTGCAACATTGTAATTCCTAAACACCACATCGAAGATCTCTCATTGGTACCATTTCAATGAAATTTTTCAACTTTTATAA